CATCCAAGCTGCTTAGCAGCCCACCTCTACACTCCAAACTTCACACTGACTCGAAAAAAAAAAAAATCTAGATCCATTAATTATTAGCGAGATAGGGAGTCTAAAGATATTTTCAAAAAGAAAGCCTCCCAAGTCACACAAGCGAGTGGAAAACCACGTGCATCACCCCCGTGCTGGGGGCGGTGACTGCTCCTGGTTATCTCAGGAGGAGACTCAAATTCCTACACGCACAAACACGAAGCCCACAGGCTGAACTGCCAGCCAGGGCTTGCGGGTCTCTCTTTCCCAGGCTCATTGTAAGCCTTGCACTACACTTTTATCCTAAGCGGATCCAAAGGAGGAAAAAAAAAAAAAAAGACATCAGAAAAACCTTTATGCAAGACAGAGCACAGTTCACTGAAGGGGAGGAAATACTGGCTTTTATTAAATCACAAGTGGCAAGTATGTACATTATGTGGGAGTTTCAGGCTGATCCTATAATTCTGAGATATTTACTTCCAGACAGAGCTGTTTATAACTGAAGACAATGTTGCCATACACCAAACCATCCTCAGATGTGCTTTCTATGGAATTTTGCCCACGAAGAAAGCCAATAGGTCAGTGGGAAAAGAGGGGAAAAAAGTACTTCAGTGAGCGCTGACCCTTGTGTTTGGAACTTCAGGCCAGACAAGCGCAGTTCCCAGGCCTCCCCCCGCAGCATCCTGCCACACCACAGCCCCGCTGCCAGGGGCAAAACCCAAGCCCCTGCCTGCGGGAGCTGCCACGCACACGCCTCTGTCATGATGCCTCTCCCATGGCTGTCCCGAGCCAGCAGCCACAAGCTAGCCCATGCCAGGCGTTAGCCCTGGCATATTTCTCAGCCTCGGTGCCTTTCAGCCCTGGCTGCAGCCTCGTTGGGTCGCTGTAGGGCCGGTCACTCACCCAATGCAGCCCCACTGAGGGGTGCCTGCGGGCTTCTGGCCAGCTTCAGCAGCTTGAGTTTGCTTCAGACTCCCCCCACACACACTCCATCTTCCTAAAGCTCTGCTCCCTGAAATCAACTCAATTTACTGGTCTCTACAAACATTTATAGGAACTTCAGCCCAGAAATGAGCCGTGCTGGCACCTGCACCTCCTAGGGGCAAGGCCACATCAGAGACGGGTCAGATCTGTGGTGACAGACTGTGGCAGTGACCACACCAGCCTGTCCTCCCCGCTGACCTGAGAGCAGAGAGGAGGTGACTCAACTTCCAAGGGGAAGTAAACACCACCGGGCAGGTCAGCAGACCGGCTCCGTGACTGCGGCACCCCAGACAACACACTGGCTCTGGGCCTGTGCTTCAGCGAGGAACGCCTACGGCCCAGGTGCTGGTGCTCCACATCATCCTTAGTCACAGATGCACGGCTGAGTTTTGGTTCTCCAAGGTGTCCCCTGCAGCCCTGGGCTCTCTGGTTGCTACTGCCTGAAGATACACTTGCCTGCCTCAGAGGACCTCTGCCTTTCTAGAGGGGACAGCAGGCTATTTGGATGCTCATAGGAAGTTCCCAAGAGAACAACATAGGCACTCCCTGTGCTGTGGGTTTTCAATGGAAGCGATCAGTGAAAGCCCCCTAACACTGAACTCCTTCACAGGAAACTTCTGGTGCCCCCGCCAAGCACAGCACACACACAGACGGCTCCAGGAGCAGTGAAGGTGTGCAGGGGGACAAGAACTGCCCCATACACTAAAAGAAACAGCACACCACAAAAACAAGGCCTCGTGCCTTGCCAGGAATGCTCCAAAAGTAGGCGCCCAAAGTTGCAGTGCTGGTGAGCCCTGCCAGCTCCAGGAGCAGGATCCAGGCAGTTTTGTGAACGATGCCAGCAGGGCTCAGATACCATAGCAGCGTGACTGAGGGGGTGCTGCGTCCAGAAATGCAGCTGGGCTAGAAATATACTGGCACGGGTGACAGTGTGCAGGATGGCGTGGCTGGGTGGACAGGGTAGATGTATAATTGAGACAGGCTGTGGTTTCAGTCACAGAAAAAGGCTTCATCTCCTAAATCCGTGCTGAAAATGACTGCATCCCTGCCTTCTGCTCCCAGAGCCCATTTCCTTCTCCAAAACCCACCAGGGTCACTCTCACATAAGTGAGAGATAGCGTATCTTACAGCATTACACAGGACATTAATTTCCATTTCAAAGGAGACTCAGCACAGCAGTTGAAAATTGTATTGGATTCGGTACAGCAGCACACTGCCCTGTTTTCTCCAGTTGCCAATTGCACCAAGGCAATTAGCTGAACACAACAGCTGTGATGGTGCTCAGCTGAGGATAAACCACATATGTTTATACAGAGCCTAGATCATGTTAATATGAATCAATTCTGATTCTGATTAACAAGGGTTTATGAAAGGCCTCAGAATGTCACCAGGACTCTTATTCTCCTCTCTGCTTTACGGTTCATCCCAAGCATATCTCCCTGCATTTGCAGGAACTTGTTAAAAAGAACATGTGCACTAGGTCCCAAGCAGGCCCACGCCCCATTCCCCTCCCAGTCGAAACACGCTAATAAGCAAGCGAACACCTCATCTTTCTACCAAGTCACCATTTTAATCCTCATCTACACTAAACGCTTGGCTTCTGGTAACAAGGCAACCTCAAGGAAGGAGCACGTCTCCTTAGAGGAGCACTGCAAGCACTCACAGTGCCCTGCAGAGCCCTGGCAGACCCTCAGATGAAGAGGAATACAAAGCTGGTGTCTTTCCTCAACAGAGACAGTAACACAAGAGTGCCAAACATCTTTCTTTGAAGGACTGGGCAGCAAGTCACACCGATTTCCATTACAGAGCTGTACCGCATTAAAAATACAATAATAACCTACCAAACCTCTCAAGGCTCATATCATTTGAGAAAATGCACTTTGCTGCAGACTGGCAGAAAAAAAACCAAACAAACAAACAAAAAAAAACACAAAACAAAACAAAAAAACTGCCACACACAGAGATCATCTTTCAGAGCCTTAGTAGCCTAACAAGTGTCAAGAGAGTTTCTTCTCATGCAGCTGGCCCTGCATCCCCATCTGCAGAGGCTGGGAAAGGAAACCCATTCCCAGGAGAGCTCCACAGCCCCTCCTTCACTCCCACCATGTGCATCCAAGCGCCTAAGCCCTTCCCGCAGTGCAGGTGCCACCCTGCAGTCTGACACAGCATCCAAATCCTGCGGCTGCTCTGGAAGCAGGAGGGACAGACACCTCCTGTGTGTGCCAGGCTGGTGCCAGGACTAGAACGTGTCCCCACCTGCATTTAAAAGAAATAAGCAGTGCTGTTTGCTGCTGCTCACACCCTGTGCTTCTTAAGTAATAGGAGAGGCTTTAGAGTTAAATGCCTCCCCCTAACAGCAGTTTATTGCTTAAGTGTCCTTTGACTCCATCCATCATAGGTAGACTGTCCTGCAGGAACAGGCACTGCCCCTCATGCTCATCAGTAACTCCTCACTCAACTGCTTCCTCCACCTGCTCCACAGGGCTCCCAGCTCCTGCATGCTCTCCCCTTGGGACCACACAGCTCAGGATGCCTCCCTGCCCTCATCAGCAGCCCACTGGTCCCACACCTGCCTGTTCATTACCCATAGCACAGAAGGCACTGGCGAGCTCTGCCATCAGTCGCTCTTGCTATTCATTACACATGTGCAGAATGCATCCCCCTGCTCTGAGGGAGCAGTGTGCATATTTAAGAAGACAACATACAAAACATAGCTGAATCTTAATGAATCCACTGCTTTGCCATGAGAACTGAATGGCACTGTGCAGACCCTGCCAGAAAAAAAAAAAAAAGAGAAAAAAAAAAAAAAAAAAGCTACACAATATTTGGCTTGTGATATGATCTTTAACACCACTTTAGCAGTGTATCACTACTGTGCCTATCGGGCCTCTAAAGCATCAATTGTAAGTAGGAAACGAATCAAAATGGAACAGGAGATACAGAACCAGCTGTGTCAGAACACTGCATTACTTGCACAGCAGAGTCAGAGTACAGAGTCCTGGCAAAAAGTAACTTCCCACAGTGTGATATCTTGGCATATCAGGTGCCCACCACAAAAAGATTAGGGAACAAGGGCTGTTAATTTGAATGCGTCTGCTGAGCTCTAACCACACCTGGGCAGTTTGAGGGTAACACATCCAGGCAGGGTCAGGCAGAAACGTACTTTTTGAGCTCTATGCTCCTCTCTGAAGTGTTCAGGCAGCCCAAGGAGGGCAGTGGCTATGAGCAGAACCCCATTTCCTCCCAACAGGTAAAGCTGTACTACAGACTTGTTCGGTACAGTGCAAGTGCTGGAATGACCTCCTCTGGGGGAGACTTTTACAAGCCAGCGGCATAAAAATCGCAGAGCACACCAGGCGTGGGCACTTCACCAGCCTTCCTCCCTCTCTCCCTCCTCCTCCTTCTCCTCCGCTCCCCGGAGCGCTTCCCCGGCGCTTCCCGCAGCGCTGCGGGGCTCGGCCGAGCCGTTCCCAGCCGCTGTTGACCCCCGGGGACAGCGGGGAGGCCGGGACCCTGCCCTCCTTCCAGCCCGATTTGCATTCAGAAACCAGGACTCCGTGGTCGCGCCTGGGAGGGCAGGAAGTCTGCGCCGACGGGCAATTTAGGAAGAAAAAGCGGAGCAACCTTAGGCTAATCCAGGGGCTGCAGCAAGCGAGCCACGGCTCTGCTCCCTGACCCCGAGAGGGACCGGTCCTGCGTGGGGAGCCCCCGCGGTCCCTACCCGGGGCAGGTGCCCGGGGAGCCGCAGCTCCGCGCCCCCCAACCCTACCCCCTGCGGGACTCGCCCCGCTCCCATCCCCGCCCCACTCGCGGGACTCGGCTCCCCACGGAGCTGCCTGCAGCCCCCACACGCGGACACCCCCGAGACACCCCCATCTCCACCGCGATTTCCCCACTCGCGAACGCAGCGACCCCCCTCATTTCCCCAAAGTCCTTCCACCTCCACCGAAGCAGGGGAACGCGGCGGGTCGCGGACACGCGTGGCACCCCCCCCTCACCTCTGCATTTCTCCATGGGGGCTGCGGGACACGGAGCTGCCTCCGCTCCGCTCCGCACTGCTCCCGTCCCTCCGCCGCCGGCTCCGGATCCCGGCCCGGGCCGCCCCCTCCCCGCCCCTCTCCGCCCCGCGGCCGGGGCTCCGCTGTGGGCACGGGCAGCCGGCAACCTGCGACCACCGAGGGCACCGGGAGCCGGGAAGGGCTCGAGGGGCACGGAGCTGCCCCGCCCCGCAGCGCCGCGCCCGGCTCGTCCCGGGGGATTTCCCCACCCGCGGGTTCCGGAGGAGCTTTGCTCGGCAAAGCGCCGCAGGCACGGCGAGAGGGAGCCGGGTCCGAGGGTGATGCGCTGTTTGCGAGGCTGCTGCAGGAATGTGATGCTTCTGTCAATAATGGGAGCGTTAAAAAAAAGATGTGGAGATGTTGGAGATGCTCCAGAGGGGGCCACGAGGATGCTCAGAGGGCTTCTGTGGAGACAGGCTGAGGGAGCTGGGGGTCTTCAGCCCGGAGAAGAGAAGGCTCCTGGGGCAACTTACAGCAGCCTTCCAGTACCTAAAAGGGGTTGCAGGAAAGCTGGGGAGGGAATCTTTGTCAGGGAGCGTAGTGGTAGGACAGGGGGTAATGGCTTTAAACTAAAAGAGGATGCCACTGACGGAGGAGGGTGACAGCAAGGCCATGTTGTTCTGAGGTTGGCCTCGTCCCTCAAGGGACTCACAGACTTTGGGGCTTGGGCCTTGCTTAGCACTTTAAGTGTGGGCAGGAAGACAGCGGTGTAGCCCGTGATGGAAACATACCTCTTCTTGCAGAGACCCGTTTCCACTGTGGGGCAGGTGGGTGGGCTCTCCAAACCATACAGCTCCTTGCACCTTTGCTCAGCTCTGCAAGCCTATGTCTGAGGTGCACACACATGTCTGAAGAGCCTGGAGTGCTCAGAGATGTTCATTTCCACTTCAGCTGAGTAAAATGGTGGGGGGGGGAGCATCATCATTTCTGTACAATTGCTGGGCCGTGGAGTCAGCAAGCAGAGAGCAGTGAGTTGGGCAAAGGCCAACAAGAGGCTCACAGAACCCACATTTCCCAGCCTGCCTGGGTCCCTGTGTGCCCCTCCTGCCCCCACCCTCCAAGGCTGTGCTTGCTGGCAATGACATCTCACAGGGCATCTGTGTCAGGTGGAACTGCAAAGCGGCTTTTACTTCGTGGAAACGTCCCCAGTGAGAACAAATTTTGATAAAGGGCTATTGCTGCTCAAGGAAGCTGAAGGTGGAGCACATCCCGTCTCTTGCCAGTACACAACCACCACACAAATGGAGAGGCAAGCCAAGTGCCTGAGCCATCAGATCCAGCAGCCTCTGATGACTGGAGGAAAAACAGGTTAAATAAATACATCCGTCACTAGAAATACTTCTCTTACGGCCCTTTCCAGCAAGTTCTTGGCTGCAGTTTTCAGAATCTAGCAGTGTGGCCCTGATTTTGCAAACTTTTAAAGCTTGTCTGTGCCTCAAAGCAGGTGAGTAGTCATTCTGAACTCAGCAAGCCTAATTAAGGATAATAACAGTTAAACAAGCTAATTAAAGATGATTTGAGACATCAAGACATCAAATACCTGAGATTCCTGTCTTCAGACCCCAGAGGCTTTATATCCCCTGCTTGTCCCTTGCATTCCCCTCCTGGCCGTGATAAGGACACACTGGTGTCTCAGGACTGCTGGCCAGGCCCATGGCAATTGGTGAGGTAAACTAACATAATGGCAGAGGATATAAGTTTGTCCCCTTTCTCTTGCAGCATAAACTACCTAGAATACTTTGGAACATTTTTTATTTTTTTTTTCCAAACAGGCTGTTGTATTCCAGGGTTTAATAAAACTGGGAAACGTGCAGACCCTGCTTAGTGCAAGGAGCTAATACTCCCAGTGTTGGTGCTGAAATCAGAGTTTGCTGCTTTGCCCAGGCAGAGCAAATACTTGTGTGCCGGTTTTCATGGTGGAGCTCCTTGTAGCCAATAAAATAACATCCGTCTACACGTGCATCCATGTATTTCTTGCTTTTTTCCTCCTTATTATTAGTGGCAATTGCAGACATCCATAATAGGCTTCTGCCTCTTTGCAGGGGAGATATTTCATGTGGTAAATGCCATCGCCAGGTGACTTACTGCAGTGCTCTGTGACAAATCCTAGCAACCCACTCAGGAGCATGAGCCTCAACCCAACTTCTTTCCCCACAGGTAACATTTGTGGGTGCTTTACAACAGAGCTCACCTGTCCCCGCTTCCAGGAAAGCACTGCCAGGGCTCAGTCAGTGAAGAAGAGGCCAGAAGCAGCAGGAGACAGACCCATCACTCTCTGGGATACTGTAACTGATGCAAGCAAAGCTACTTGGCAGAAGAGGAGTGAGTACTCAACTGGAGAACAGGATATGAATCCTTTACTTCAGGAGATTTTCAAGCATGCTGACTATGGGTATGCCTTTTGCGGTCTTCTTATTTCCCTGTGAAGCACCTCATGATTCTGGCCATAAAAGAGGTGGCCAAATTCTTCCCCAGCTTCAACTGGCGTAACACTGGTGTTGCTCCACTGACTTCTGCCCAGCCATTTCTGACTTTTTCCAATGAAAGACAAGACAATCAGACCTAACACAAACAAATGATAATAATAATAATAAAAAAAGCTGTTCAGCTGCTCAGCTATACAAAAACGTCATGGCTGATACATCCCAGCAATGTTTTGGATTCCCTCAGACATTAACTGTTTCAAAAGAGCATAGCTGGGAAGAGAGTGGCTGGAGGGAGGGGGGATTTCCCATTAAGGACAGCAGGACCAGATGTCTTTTTGATGAGCTTCTCTTGGCTTCCTATTCTTTGACATTTCCTTTGCAGTCATTGCGTCCAAACTGCTTCTAGAACAAATTAGAGAGAGCTCTAACAGCATGGATGACTTTCGCTCCCCTGATAGATAGAATACCTACCTCTGGCCAAAGTATGAGACATGCTGACTGGACAGTGTTCTTAACTGCCTGGGCATTTATTCATCCTGGAGCCATTCCTTCATCACACTTATTTTCCACTTAAGACCTATGTTTCCCTCCAGAGAAGCCCCTCAGCTTTCCTTTGGCAGTGTTCAATACCAGTAAAAGAACTAAAAAACTTTCTTTTTTCCACTCCAAACTCCATATGGGCATGTTCCCCCCAGCAGACCTCACTGGGTATCAATACGCTGCATTTCAGCATGTAATGCTCACAGCCACCATGGGACATGTCTTTCAGCTTCCTAAGAGTTTCTGATACAGGTTTCTGATATGTAATTAGCCATGGTCCTAGTTTTTGAGGGGATGGGATAGGAAATCAGGGCTTTCAGTGGACCAAATATTACAAATCTCATCCACACATGGATTTTATTGGTAAACCAATATGGAGTAATCTCTCTCCTAAGTCCGTACAAAAAACCTCTGTGGACTATAATGCTGTCAATGGAGGACTCACCTTGACAGAGATGACCTCCTGGCATCTTTCAGCACCACTAAAACTTACCCAGGCGAGAGGAAAAACTGGTTTTATCAAAATATGGGAAAACATTAATTTTTACAGCTTGCTATATTTTCATTAGGATCTTTTAAAACCTCTTCATCATCACCACAACCTGTGGTCTGATGTCAACTGTGAGCTCACGGAAGGCTATTCATTCTGGCATTTTCCCAAAAATGAGTGGCTTTTTTTTTTTTTTTCAGTCCGCAGCTTCTCTTTAGGCCTTAACCACTTCCACCAAGCCAAAGTCAATAAGCAGAACACGCTTCAGAGGTCAGCGCTGCTGAAGTGGGAAAGTTAAAAAAAAAAAAAAAAAAAAAAAAATACAGAACCTGTAGTTTCTACAGAAGAGCACCAACAAACTGCAATTTCTACCAGCCATGGCTAAGTACTACGGAGGAGCCCTCATGCCTGCTAATAATACTAGATCTCAGGGTGTGTCAGACTACCTGACAAAAAGGAAGCAACCACACGGTAGCAGATCTCATCTGTATCACTCGAATCTCCCATTTTTATTTTTATTTTTTGTCCTGTGAAAAGAGACTTTAATTAAGAGTCAAGAAGTCAGCCTCAGTAAATACCAAAAGAGCTCTTTCCCTTTTCCCACGTAGACCAGCAGAATTGAATTTCTTCTGCCTTCCCAGCTATCATTAAGTATTCTGTTTAAATAGGCCAGCTTCATGCCATCCATAATGAAGTTATAGTGTATTGCTCTGTTATGAAGGATGAAGCTGTTGTGTCCTACGGGGAGAAAAATCGCTGTAATCCAACTTTCCTTTTGAAAAGGCCTAATGTATCCACATGAGATCTTCTGGCAGAGACAACTGAGAGAATATAAATAGAAGCTTAAAAGAAGAAGGAGGGGAAGGGGAAAATAACTCCAACAGGGCTGAGTAGCTGAAATTCGCAAGTTTAATAGGAAGATGGATGACTGAAGAGCCTGTTCTATGACACAATTAGGACTTTATGTAGGCCTTTTTCAATTATTTGTAGCTGACAAAATATCGCACAAAGGCTGTTTCACACAGCAGGCCAGGTGCCCAGAAATGTGTGTTTTTTTGGAGGGGGTTGGACTGGGAGAGCCGCCCAGGGGCACAGGCCATGAGGGTCGCCACTGGCGAAGCTGGGAGATGGCGTGCGTCACCCCATGCACAAGTGGCAGGAGCCAGGAGTGTCCCACGGTGCCTGAGGGCCCTGGACACCCAAGCCCTGGTCTGCCTTTCCCCGAGGAGCACAGGGCTGCAGCCACCATCCCCAGGCCCCAGCAACTGCAGGGTGGGAGGTGACCATACAAGCGTGCGTGTCCACCTCAGGCTGCAGCTCTCCTCAAGCAGACGCGCTGAGGAGACATGTGGGTTCTGGTACAGGATGAGGTTTCTGCAAAACGATAGTTCTGGGTCCTGAAGTTATAGCTAGAGATCTTGTCTCAGGGCCTTTCTGTTGCAGGTTCTGTCCTGCAGCTTCTCACTGGCCGCCCACCAAACACTATTTTTGTTTACTCTTGTGGCATTTCCTTTCTCATCGACAAGTTAGCTACCACAGCTCAACCTTCAAGGGAGGTGAAATAACCTGAATAGCTTTGCACCTGAAATAACCTGAATAGCTTTGCATGCAGCTGCTCCAGTGCTGCAGCTGAAGATGCTGACATCCAGCAGAGGAGTGGTGGTGAGATGCAATGGCTTTAGCATCTCCCGGAAGACCTGCAGAAGATCTTACCAAACCTTCATGCTTTAAGTGCCTTTAATTTCTTTCGGTTTACTTCAATCCCTCAGTGAGATCATCTGACCAAGGACATTTCATTTCAGGCTGAAAATGCCCAGAGGGGAATGGACTAGCAACTTTATTTAAGTTTGGATGAGCTTCCCTGGGTGTCCCCATGAGGTGAAGGCCAAGTGGCAGCCTGGGGCCTGCAGAGGGGTAAATCCTGCTGGGGCAGAGCTCCTCTTCCCTGGTGTCAGCACCAGGGCCACGCTGGCTGCATACTGACCCCAACAGCTTGCTGGTACAACTGAACCTGACTCCACTTTTCCTCATAGGGTCAGTTTTTGAGCTGGTTTGTGCATCTAAATGGGTGGCTGCTCAGCCTGCCCCAGCAGTCATGTTGTTGTCACTGGGACTGGTAAAACACAGGGAAGTTCTCCTGTGGTCCTCTGTTTGGATTGCTCTGGGGCCAGAAGGAGCACAAATGCACTTTTCAAGAAGTGGAACAATTGATCAGCTATGGGAAAAACAAATCTTGAATGCCAAGCATTGGCAGCAAGGTTGGCATGTTGCAGTGGTGTGCTTGGGGCTGCCTGTGTGTATTGGCAGATCTTGTTTATGATCCAGTATTTCTTGATCTCAACAGATGTGCCAATTACCTACTTTTTTTTTTTCTCTCTCTCTCTTTTTTTTTTTTTTTTTTTTTTCCACAAAACTAGCCAGTAAGAGCATTACTTTTTTTTTTTTTACTTTTTTTTTTTTTTTTTCTTTTTTTTTTTTTTCTTTCCCAGCTGTGTGAGGAGGTAGGGGGAACAGCGAAAGACACAACATGAAAATAAAACACACACTTCTACATTACTCCAAATATCTGGCCTCCTTCCCCCTTCCTCCCACAGTATCTGTACTTTTAAATGCATCATTACTAAGGGAATTATTAATGTAGTCACATCAATAAATCTTACTTAAAAGTCCTTATATTGAAGTCATCATTCATCTAGCTGGGACTCCTCTGTAAATGATAATTAGGGTAAGAGCTAACTGAGATACCACAGAGTTTGCTCCTGGCAGTCATTTAACATCCAGCATGGTATCAAGGCTGTAAAGTAGGCATTTCTCAGCGGCAGTTCATTCATTGTAAAACTTGTTTTGATTATTAGCTTGTCTCCTGTTTCACAGCAAACACTTCGGTTCACATAAAGACCTCAAAGCATCAATGTCAATGAATTCCTTGAATGGACTCAGCTGCGTTTTGTTTGCTCTGCAGTATGTAGCCACGTCCAGAAGAGCCAGCCAACGTGCAGCACTATTTCAGACAGCCTCACTGGGCTCATTCTGAAAAGAGTTGGTTCTACAAGCAACTCTTCTCTCCAAAACCTGGTGCTATGGGGGCTGGGATATCCGAAACGATGACACATTTCTTAATGATTGCTTAATAACAGAATGTGTAAATGTGCTGCTGGAACCGCAGTGCTAAAGGGAGGGTTATCACCTCTGTCACCAAATCAAGACTGTAATTTCATGACATAACGTGTCCAATATCCCTCGCAACTCAAAGTATTCTGCTCTAATGTTCTTCATACCCCATTACCCATTTGTGCCCACCCTTTTGTGCCAGTACAACTGTTTTGTGAGGCCACTGCACTCACCAAAGGAGGGAACTGACTCCAATTAAAAAAAAAAAAAAAAGAAAAGTATGGAATAAGAAGTAAAAAATGTTTTCTTAAGCAGGATCAGTTCCTGAATGTCAGGGAGAGCGACCCCACAAGCAGTCATGCTGACATATCTGATGGCAGGAAGGAGCTGTGAGGCCGTGGGAATACCTTGAGCTGGCTGAGCAGCCCAGTCCTTCGTCTCATGAAACCGCAGCCTGAGGAGGGACGGCTCTGTGCTGCTTTCCTGCTGCCTCATTCGTCCTTTCCCCCAGCCCATGGGCCCCCATCACTACCATGGCTACGTCCAGTCTGGGACGTACATTTTAATCTGCAGTGTGTATACAAAAGAGAACTGGAAGCAGTGGCTGTCTGAGACCCACCTGACCTTTGGACGTACAGCAAGCTTCCTGTTCCAGGGCTGCCGGCTCTTTAATCTCCAAGTCCTTAAAAATACAAGCGAGCCTATGTGAAAAAATGCTTTGTAATGGGAACTCCTGGAACAACTTCCCTCTCTCGCCCTCTCACTGAGCCATAGAAAACAGTAAATATCTCTCCCAAGAGTCCTTTCTTACAATAGAAAAATGGCAGGCCAGATTGAAGTTTCATTTCCCAGCCTCAGACTCCGCAGCGGACAGCACAAAAGCTAGAGGATAAAAAAGCAAGGGGAAAAAAATGCTCTTGTTCATTCAGAGTTGGAGAGATTTTTGGTGGAGAGCGAGCTTCTTGTGACAGCAGAGCAAGCCACACTTGGGAACTGGGTTTCTCTTTTTGCAGGAGGAAGTGGTCTTGGACTATATACTTGACAGCAAATTAGCACTGACATTTGACTTGTTTTGATCTGAGCTATTTACAGTGGTTTTATCTGTGTATTTTTGACATGCTGTGAAGATTCCCATTGCCAGATGCTTTGCGATGGCTGTAGGATGCAGCGCATTCCTCAGCCGTTACTCAGGGGTCATAAACCTCACATTATTTGTGGGGAGGAGGGAAGAGGGAAAAATGGCCTAACAAGTAAAAAAGAAAAAATGAACAGAAAGAGAGAAACCCGGGACTTAGATTTCATTGGGCTTGTACATTTAACTGGAGAGAAATTAAGAAATGCAATTAGGGTGGCTGCCGCTGTCACGCTGTGGAGCCAGTGACTGGACCAGAGCCTTGTGTACTTGCTCTGTGCACAGGAGATGTTCATGGAGATGAAATTCCCAACTGCTACAGACAGGCAGACTGAAATGGAACAACTTCTCCCTCACCCTGCTGGGACCCAAGGCCCCACTGGGGGCTGCTGCTCAGGACCTCCAGAGCCTGGGCTGGCCAGAGGCATTCTAGGGCTGGAACCAGATGGTAACTCTTCCTCTGTTGCTACAAGGAAGGAGCTGAGACCTGGGAAGTGGACTTTTCATGACTAAATGAGACAACCAAAAGGAAGACTTTCTTTCTTTCTTTTCTAGGTTCCTGGGGCTGCAGGGCAGCAGGCAGGGAATGGGATCCTGCCCTGCAGAGCAGTGGGGGAAACACCTCCTGGTTGTCAGTTGTGAGACAGGGAACATATTACCTGCAGGGCACAAATCCTGGTGCTGGAGGGGCTGTCTGTAGGCTCAAGGATGCTGTGCAGGACAAAGTTCTTCACTCAGAGGGTGGTGAGGCCCTGGCACAGGCTGCCCAGAGAAGCTGTGGCTGCCCCATCCCTGGAAGTGTTCAAGCCCAGGCTGGATGGGGCTTTGGGCAACCTGGTGTGGTGGGAGGTGTTCTTGCCCATGGCAGAGGTTGGAGTTAATGATCTTTAAGGCCCCTTTCACAGCCATTCTGTGATTCTGTGACGTGTGCTGTACCATTCCTGCCCTTGAACAGAGAGCTGCAGCTCAGATGATCACTGGCCTGAAGCAGGATCCTTTCACACCCCCTCTGAACTTTTTTTTAGGATTGATCTCCAGTGGCTTTACTTCAAAGAGTAACATACCCCCTCCCCCCCCTTAACATTAAGCCTCAAAGCCGGTCTTAATGAGGCCCCAGTACAACTACAGGAGGCTCGAATTAATTCAGTGACGTTCAGGAGGCCATCTATTTACAGCACAGTGCACGCACAGCACCCTTTCCAGGGGCTACCTACACGCCAAGTCCCTGGACATTTCTTTCTTCTTAGGCAATGATGGGAATTGCTACAGGTCCTGCTGGGGTGCAGTGTGTCCAGCCCTGCTGCTGCTGTGGTCTGCTGGAGACCTGGGCGTTCAGCACACATGGACAATTTGCAGCCCTATCTCCTAGAACAGCATCTTCTGCACCCAGACCAAGGCTGGGGAGAGTTAAACTCCAGGTAGTTGGACAAACATTCAATTTAAAATAGTGAGACACAGAAATACCCTGTCAGGGATGAAGTTTTTAGCTGAACTCACAAGAACAGAGAAAGGAAATTATTTAGATCATGAAGCCAGTGCAGCAGGATGACCTAGTTGACCTTGCTGATATCTTGGGTCCTTTTAAACCACAAACTAACCGCACAAAATGAAGACTCCTATGTGGTTTGTATAAGTAGATATTTTACTGACAAGAAACCTTTTGTCCTTCCTCAAGTCTGGTGAGAATTCTACTGAAGCCAGGCACTTTTTTCATCTGTCTTGGTTTGGTCAATGATGTCTCGCCTCTCTCTGCGCATCTTGTTCTGTAAGAAGACTTTGATACAACTCTGCAAGGTGAAAAAAAAAGCAACCAAACAAATAAATGAGGCTACATGAACCCAGCGATTAAGAATAAAGCTCCAAACTTTATTCATTGACTTGAGTACAACAGTGATGCAGATTACAGTGGCACAGGAGTGCAGTATGTGCTGTTTGCAGTATGACAGTGGAAACACTAATTGTACAGAACAGCAACCCAGCTCAACTTTTCATTAGGCATACAAGCAGACTTACTGTACAGACAAGACATTGATTCACTTTTACAGAGAGACTCAAGAGCTGTCTCACAGGTGAATGGGAAACACAGGGACACCTCCCCGAAACGCTGGTTTGTAATGTGTGGAGGGAGGAGAAAAGAAAAATAAAATAATAAAAATCCTATTGCCAAAATCTACCGACTTAAAAGGAAAATATACCTTTGAAAAACTAGTTTCAGTTTCCAAAGCTTAAAAAAAATGTCCCCAGCTGTAAGGCCCCCTCTCGCAGGAAGAGCTGTCAGCAATGACCAGGTGGCACTGCTGGGACAGGACAGATCCAGCAGGGACACACAGAGCTGGCTGCTGCGGGCGTGCACAGCAGTCAGACACTTTCCTGGTCCTGCCAGATGAGAAAGAACCCGCTCCCAAGCGTGTGGATGTCAGTGAGAGGCCCCACTGGTGTCAGTGGTTTTGCATCTGGGGGTAGTGCTTTCGTCAGGGTGTCCAGTGGGACCTGTCAGCGCCCAAGGGAGCCAGACTCAGCCTGGTAAGGCACCGCTGGGATTCGCGCAGCTGCTTCTGCAAGCCTTTAATACCTCATCTCCTAATGCCTAGGAGCAAGGTCCTGTGGCCTCAGCTTTGCAAGTCCTAGGAGCAACACCCGTATTAACTGTAGTGATTTCTGGCCAAGCAGATAGCTGCTTGCCTTCAGTCATCTCTTTTTGCCTCAAAAGAAAGACCACAGCACACATGGAATTATTACCTCTTCATATGGACAAGCATTTTTTAGGAAATCATTAGCAGAAATCTTTTTCCCTGTTAAAAGCCCTTTGGGCAACAGATAATTTATTTTGCATACAGGCAAACAACATTAATGGCCAATTACACTCCCACTTCCTGCACTGATGCTCACATTAAAATTAATAACACTTACTCCCTCCACGTCAAATGCCAGCATCACACAGCTCCTGCCAGCAGAATTGTCTGACTAAAAGTTCAGTATCTTTTTTTTTAGTGATAGATTTTTTGTCCTGCCCTTTACTAAGCACTAAATAGGTGTGTGGGAGAAATCAAAGGCAACGCTCACCAGCCAGAGCAGTCCTGCAACCTGCAGTAATGAGGGTGTTCCTACACTAGATTAGAAATTTCTACCATCACAGCATGCAGTCACTCTCTCCAGCTCTTCGTTACATAGCAATGGGGTAAAAACATACCACATATTGTCGGGATCACTTCCTCCATATGTCTACCCTGAAGAATATGGACTCCAGAAGACGTGCAGGCAGGGCCAAAATGTTTGGCAAAGACCTGGACCGTGACCTGAATGTGAAAGGGGGCTGCGGGATCAAGCCCTAAGTGTCTCTGCTATGGAAAACTGATTGGCATTTCAGGACAGATCAGTTGATTTTATTGCTTCCTGTACATGCTTTATTCATCATCATTGACTGTTTTTTAGCACCACAGGTAACTTCCAGGATGCAGACCTCCTCCTCTACAAGTAAATTCAGAAGGAAAGCAATGAAATGTGGAGTGGAAGAAAGGCTGATTTCCATTTAGTCTGTATCTACAAGGCTATGGCCCAAATGGGCCAGGATCTCCTAACTACTGCTAAGTCAGGAACAGCCAAAAGAAGTCACTCCACTCTGAGTTTGGAGGATGTTCTTATATTCTTACTGTTCTGGGGATCCATTTTTTCCATCACTTGTTGAAATAGCTTCAGAATGTTAACTTCAGCATAGATGCTCATAAACTACAGCTGCTCCAAACTTGATTTCCCCAAAGTTCGAAAGAGGTAGCACAAGCTGGCATGCATTTTCTTATAAATTTGCTAAATATCACACTTGCAAACCCTGGAGAAAGCAAGTTTATGCCAGCTGTCCTCCTTCCCAGAACTTAACACTTCTCCATCCGTTGACATTACCTGACATAGCAGAAACACCCCAGGAGGAGCAATGACTTACAGGAAGGGACTTCACTTCAAAATTTGTCTAACTTCAGAGTAACACTTTCACAAAAGAGACCCCTAGCAACCTCCCCTGAAGAGCAGGGTGTCTGAACCATATGGCTGAGAAAGGATTTCCAGATTGCAACAGGGGAAGGGCAGGGAGCACTGCAGTGCTGGCCCCACAGAGACTTGGGACCATTCAGCTTGGTAAGACGAGATGACCACTTTCTTGACTTTTATTTCTATGAAAGCATTACTGGAACCACTGAGCTATCTTGTCCCACATGCAGCGGTAAGAAACTTACTGTTTTCCTAGTCTAACCTTTCACAGCACACTGCAGCTATGTGCACAAACCATACTGAATGAAAGGCTACTAATCAAACTGGAAAAAAAAAAAAAAAAGAGTATGTTTCTGAGACTCACACCACTAAAACCTGTGTTAAATGACACCAGCATGAAATGGTAACAAACAATTCAAAAAAAAAAAAAAAAAAGCATGAAATTCTGAGAGCAAGCTTCACAAGAACTTACTCTTCCAGCTGTACAGAAAGTTTGTCAAGTTTGGGATAGGACACTGGCAGAGTTGAGATGCTACACTCAGCTTCCAAACTGAGGCTACAATAGATCAATCACTTCACTGAGAAAGAGCGGACAGTTTAGTAATTTCCAAACCTATTTTTCAAGTTGGCTTCATTTTACTACCTTCAGGGAAGATATTTATCATATTTATTTCACCACACTTATTTCCACTTCTGACTGTCAGCAGGCTGGAGCTTACACCAAGTGAAGGCGAGGGCATCCAGGGTACGGGCAGCTGTTTCCACTGTACTGCAGAGCAGCTCTCCTCTTGGTCATGATGGAAATTATCAGACTGGGACCTGAAGAAGCCACAAAACCCAGCAGGCCAAATCTCTGGATTCCCCATTAATCTGCTGCACAAGGTTTTACTCTTCCATCTAAGCACTGCCAGGAATGGGCACTGCAAATGTTCACATATGTTTGAGAATGCCTTTTAGATGATACCACACGTGGCCAACCTTGCACTTCCACAAAGTGGGACAGTGACCTTGTGTTCTGCACACTTGCTTGATCTCAGAAGCAGGTACCCAGGAGCCCTGCAGATACAAGCACATATGCAGGTGACATCCTTCTTAATTACTGCTGTCTTTTCAACACAATGCAGAGTTTGGAAATTCCAGGTTAACTCCTCACAGAGCATCTCAACTCCATAAGGGCAGCTTGTGCTACATGTGCCTGTGTTTTTGACAACCTGCACGTGTCTATGATCCCATTCTGCACACCTGTATGGCTGTTTTGCAATTCCACCCCACGTGCCTGTTTTGACAGGTCTTTGCTCTTACATCATTCTTAAAGCAGAAAGGGGAAAAAAATGAGACAAAAGCAGTCAGGTTTCAGTCCTCTTGGCAGTGACATTGTTGACAGCGCTGAGTTTGATGGGGCTTCATCAGAAGCTCAAATGCTTTGCACGAGACAGAAGAATTTGAGCGTGTACTTAAGGCATATTCTTACACACACTTAAGTATTTACTGAATAATTTAGAGTCTTATTAAAAAGCTTTGACTCTCTGTTACATTACAATATTCAAATTTATTGGCCACAAGGGACTATTGAGAGGGGAATTACAAAGAACTGCCCAACAGCACAGAGCTGCCCAACAAACAATATGCTACTGGATCGATACTAGGAAAATGATTCACTGCTTACACAGAAAACTCTCCCTGGAGCTGCCTTTCCATTTTTATGAGGTGGGAAGACCAGATGAAAGAAAATATTGCAGTGACAATTGCTAACAGCCCATTGCAGAAACTGCCCACCCATCCCACGGCCGGCTGTGGCCTGCTCTTTGGGGCCATGGGATCTTGGGGTGGTTCTGCTTCTGGATGGGTGGGATATTAAGAGGAATTAACCCTTCACATCCTTAATCAGAAATAAAGCAGTAGTAAGTCCAGTGTAGAGAGCAGTGAACTGACTGACTATGCTGAACACTAGAACAGGCCCAAAATCCAGTTAGAAATTAATTGTGTCTGCTGCATCTGAGCTGGCTTCTCCTCATTCCTTCCCAAGGTGCAATTGCAGATTTAAATTCTCAGTTGATGAGGCAGACACAAATTATCTTGTCATTCTCAAAGGCTGAGGAAGTGTTTTTTTTGTTTTTGTTTTGTTTTGTTGTTTTTTTTTTTTGAGGGGAGGGAGAAGAGAGAATAGAAGACAAGACAACCTGGTGTAACCACCTCTGAACTGACCAGGTAGTATATTTACATACCTTGTGAGCAGTTCAATAGTAATGTAAAGATGGGGACAGAAAAATGCAGACTGGCAGCTCACGTCCCTGAGAGCAGACTTCACACCAAAAAGGTTTGTTGTCAAGGTGACTTGGGCTAAAAGACTCATAATGCCTGCTGCATCTGAGCAGCAGCATCAGGGCATCAAAACAAATTGTGGAGAATTTAATACTTTAAATAATTAAAACCCAAATGTTCATCTCGGAGTTAAGCCACACCTTCACAGACATCATACACTGAATCTCTGAGACTAGTGTTCACGAAACGAGTGACTGTGAGACACTGCTGTCCTTTCACTGCATGGCTATGGTTTCAGCTGCCACTCAGAAATGCATCTCAACCTGCCAGTGCCCTCCCTGGCATTCCTATTTGCTTCCCAGCGTTCTTCTAAAACCATTTCAGATGCTTGTTCTGAAAAATGAAGTAAAACATGTTGAACTGAGCCTTGCTGCAATCTCAGTGAGGTCCAGAGAGCTACCTTGCAGCTAACTGCATGTCATGGTATTCACCAAGGGCTTGTGTTCATATGGGACTACGAGGCCAGCTCTGCACAGGAGCACGTCCTCCAGCTTGTCCCTTGGGCTCACCCTTCCCTTAGCCCTAGAGCATGGAGCAGGTGCTGACCCCTTGCATCTGCCTCTCAATCACTGAGTCTTCAGCTCAGGTTGGATCAAAGGAACCACGGTGATCTGCTATAACAGGACTTCCTAAACCAGCACAGAAGAGGCAGGGTTTGGGCTGTCCCGCACGTTTCATGGTGAAATGCCGTGTGGTGAGACACAGAAGTCAGCACAGTGATATCGAATCTCACAACTATGTGGGACTGTTTCCCCTTCCTGACTTCCAGACTTTTAACACCAATGTCTCATAACAGAAAATACAAAGGTTCTGATGTCTCCAGTGCCAAAAGTTTCTGCATTAGAAATGAAACCTTGATATTCTTTGACAGACACAGAACCTGAACGTCCCTCTCCGATACCAGGAGATGGGCTCATTAGTGCAGTATGCATTGGCAGTTAAGCACCGAGGAAGAAAAAAGCTGACCTTGCAGCCACAATGCATGTATTCAATTACTTTGGTGCTCATGTCCATCTCTTAAGGACCTGCCCAGAAGCAGTTAAGGTATATATAGGCAGTTTTGTTATTTTTATTTTTTTTTCCAAGCTGCAGCATAGTGGAAGAAGACTGAAAGCAAGAGGAGTTCAATGCAGCTCAGAAACCATCTTGCATGATTTCTCTGTCTCCACAAACCAAGTCAGGCACAAAGGGAAATAAATATAACCAAGGCTGGAGCTCTGAAGCTTCAAGAGGAAAAAAAAAAAAAAAAAAAAAAGCCTGTGCCCTCTTTTCCAAGCACAAGTGAAAAACTACACTAACTAAAAAGAGAGTGCTTGGCCCCATGCACTGTGCCATATTGACAACAGCAACTGCAATTTAATCAAAAAGCCTCTATTGGCAGAGCATGGTACCACCTTGGTGGTACCTTTTAGTTCATGAACATTCCTCCCCCAAGAGGGATGAAACTGTGTGTTGGCTTGCAGAGAACCGTCTTCCCTGCTTATGTAAAATCCTACAGCTCCACAGCAATCTGAGGGGCTGTACTAGTAATGACTAGCAGGGAGTCTGTCCTGAAATCTCTGGGTGTGAACCAGGGCACACTTAAAAAAAGCATTTTCTCACTCTATCACTCCCACCCTCATCCACCCATCTCCTGGATTAAATTACAAGAAAACTGACTCTTCTCCATCATTCCCATTACTTGAGTGATCTTAAATTATTTGACTGGTTAAGCTCCAGCCTTATTAATTCAAGCAGAAAGTGTGGAAGAGGGAAGACTGGCAACAGACACAGCAATTCACTTCCTATATATCCTACCAAATATATACAGGTACAAGGAGCCCGCTTTCCAAGAATTCAACTGGGATGCACTGCAAAGGAGCAGAGCGCCCACCTTTGCAGACTGTATCACACAAAGATGTCATTTCAAAAGACTGCCAACTAAGAAACAGTTGTGTGAAAGACAACGTGACCATATGGGCGTGTTACAAAGGGCTTCTCCTTCACTACAGAGTATCTATCTATCTTTCTCTCCATATATATACACATATATACACATACATACACACAGATGGATAGATATAAATACATGTGCGCACACACGCAAACACACTTACATATATATATATTTTTATATATATATATATATATTTCTTTTCCAGTTCTTGGAGTGGTTACAACTACTTTAGTCTACAAGGCGTCCTAAGGGCACTTCCTGGCTCTAGCAATAAAGTCCATCATGTTATGGAGAGAAGTAAAGGGAGTATCACTGAGGGAGAAGAACAGTTTCCTATCTTGTATGAGATCATGTAAAAGGTCAACACCTCTGAAAATCATCTTTGTTGTTTCTGAGCTCAGATATTTCCTTCCCTATGTTCCAGGAGGGCAAATGTTCGTCTTCAATTGCTGTGTGCAGAGGTGCCACTATGCGATTTTCCTTTTTTGGTGGGTAGGTAGTTGCTGCCAAATAGTTTGGACTGTATGATACAATATCCTATGTACCATTTTTAAGTTGGTTTCTTTAAAGGGAGATTAAAAGAGTTTTGCTTTTTTCTTCATGTCGTTGCGTCTCCAGAGAGGTAACTTGTCAAACTCCTGTATCGTCATGCCAAATATTTCTTGAAAAACTTCAGGTGCTAAGTGACGCTTTAAAAAAAAAAAAAAAAAAAAAAAAAAAAAAAGAGAGAACAGGCAATGGTCAGTCAGTCAAAGCCAAAGTGATGCAATAGGAGATAGGAGTGCCTTAAGGATTTCATGTCACTCTAAGAGCCACTGCAGCATCTAGTGATTGAAGTTTGATGGACTAACAATCCCTTGCCAATGTCCAAGTCCTTATGAACGTGCATTCTCAATGCACCAATAAAATTTTGACATTTATTACCTCTTAGAAGTCTACAAAGGAGATCAGGCCAACTATTTCAGTTGCTGAATAAGCAAGACAGGAAAAGATTTTGTCTGCAGTCATACACCAAGTAGTGACAGATCTTAGAACAGAAAAAAGTTCTTGCATGCCCTTGTTGTGGGCTTTAGGTAGTCATCCCCACCCACACGCTGAAGTTTAAACAGACACTGAGTTTCAGGAGAGCTTTGCAGAAGGGCTGCGGGTTGGACATGCAAGTTTTGAAAAGCAAGAAGCCAGCCTAACCATCCACCACATTTCTCTGCAGCAAATGAAACATATTTTAGTGCTGTCCTGTGCATTAGTTACTTCTCTTGTTCAGCTGCTCTAGAGTGCACTAGACAGGGAAAATCCCTCCCTGCAGCGCTAATGTAATGTCACCTTGAATTTTGATTAGCGATCACATTATGTACTTGTCTAAAAATGTACATAAACAGGCACATACATGAATTTTTGTGGCTGCTTTCATTCATCCCCACAAGATTAATTAACTACAAGTTACTTAAACATCGCCAGGCAAGGAATTCCACTGAACTACTTAAGTCTTACTAATCCACAAACTGGTTGACCACTTCTATTTGTTAGTAGAGGTTTAAATCCTCACATTTTTGCATGTTGGCCAGTCTAACTCTCAGGACTTACTGATGAATTGGAGCAAGTCAGACTTTGGATCCTCAAGGATGGCTGGTATTGACTCTTAGCTAGGAAGTGATCCAAGCCTACACAAAGCATTGCTCCATTCCAGCGTGGGTTCTGTGACTACAAAATGCGTAACCAATTTTGGCCTTTTTACCAATTTGCAAGTATGAAAACAATTGCTTGAAAAAATAAGGTGGTTGTGAACAGCTCTGTCCAGGAACAAGGAGACACAGGCATTGCTGGTCAGAGACGTGGGACTCCTGTTGCATCCTCCCTGTCCGACTCCTTCTTCTCTGCTTAGTGCTGAGAAACCTTTCTAGTCTAACAAGGACCCACACATCAGTGTTAGAGCTTTCAAGTGTGCAACAATAAACAACTTCAGCAGGAAAGAGCATTTAGGAACTTGCTTCTCTTACCTCCAGCCTGGTTCTGTCTACATCTTTTAGTATTTTATTTCGCCCTCTGTTGGTCACCATGAGCATTTCATATGGAAAAATCTGTTAACAACGTATAAAAGGGGGAAAAAGAGATGTATTTACATTCAAAAACAGAAAGAACACAACGTGTCTTATTTTCATAACCACACAAACATTTGTTTTCTTTTTCAACGGAAATTTCAGCATTTCATTTTTAAAGATGCATGAAAGGCCAGTCAGGATAGAGCAAGAACTTGTTTAATATCAACATCAAATTGCCTCCTACTATAGAGGCAATCTGTACTTGTCCACACCAATGATTTTTATGGTGCATCAGCTCAGCTGGCTTTCATAACACAAAATCCTCTCTAGTCAATATACTTTCTCATCTAGCAACATAGAATTTTTAGAGTTTATTAAGGTAAGTATATTTGGCACTCCTTGGTCTGGCTGATGGTTACCAAAGTGTGGACAGCTCTAAGGAAACAGACAGAGGTCTTTTAAAAGATGAACCACATGAGAGCACATCTGAAAAAGCAGCACTCTGAATAAGCAAGACATTCATTAGTGGGGGCCATTGCAATCAACAAAATTTATCATGATTTTCTTTGCCTATTTGGATAGTTAAAGAATTGAACAGTGCCCTCTGTGCTTGCTGTCTGTGCCACACATGCATGGATTAAAGGAGATGCTTTTATAGACATACTTATCTAACACACCTTCATCTCCTTCAGAAGAGTGTGTCCAGCACATCTCCCATTACATTTCTCCTGATTTCCCTTTGCATTGCAAAGAATATCCAGAACTCACACACAGCAGTTGCTGCCCAGTAATTCCTGAATGCATGGATTATTCATTTTTTCTTTTACATGTGTAGGTTCTTTGTTTAAAGTAAAAATGTTTACTGTCAGCGGGTCTCAAATCAGTTTGACCCAACAGAAACTACATTCCTTAGAAAGGATTTCAGAAAACCATGTGCCTTAAAATCAGTTTCTGGAATCATTTCATTTCAGTTTTTCATGTACCCTTCCACGTACATTTGGAATGACATTGGAGAGCTCATGTTCTGCCTGACAGAGCCTCCCTATGGCCCTTTTCATTGTGTAAGGATTTCATTGCTGTAAGGATAACAGCATTCCCAATGAGGTCCTCATCCAATCCCCACTGAAACCAGTGAAGTTCTTCCACATACTTAGTGGGAATTGGCTTTTACTGCTATTTTTACTGCTGGTCTTGTTCGACTGATTCAGACACATGCTCCCTGAGTGAAACCACCAAAACTCTCTTAGGAGAAGCAGCTGTGCTATCATTAAACACCATTAATTCAATTATTTTAACAGAAGAAATTCAACCAAATCAGCTTTTGTGCAGTACTAAGCAATTAAGTTCATTCCATTGTAAACAATTATCCCAATGAACTTTGCAGAAATATAATAAATAAGATTCAGGCATTGATGAACACACCACTGAGTTTATTGTAAGTAATAATAATTTAAGTAAAGTGTGCTTACATACCAATTGTAAGATACGACTCTTATGAGATTCTGACGTTGTCACAAATGTACAATTAGACTATACTTTGAATTACATTGCTTATGTTTGATACTGGAAATGATTACCAGATACACCATGATAGGAAACTAAAACATAACTCTTCTAAATGTTTAAACAGACAGAATTTAAGTCAAGGTCTAAGGTCGTAAGTACATTTTATATTTAGGAATTCACAACAAGGTATGTTTCAATCCAGGGTGTCAGGATGCACAAATTCTGTCCTTTCCAGTGAATCACTTGGTAAGATTTGGTCTTTCTAAAGTTTACTGATTTTTACTTCCCAGGAGTTTCATGCTGACTTTGAGTTGGCTTTTTTTTTTTTTTTTTTACCCGATCAAGCTTAAATTAGCATTGAATCATTGACATGAATACAATTGCTATCAATTAGCTCCAGGTCTGGCATAATCTTTTCGAATGTCAACAGAAAGTGACCAATTATCTCACAAAAATTCCCACAAATTTTATCGCTAGTAATATGACAGAATTTGTTACCCAAAACAACTTTCCAAATAATTGGGTGCATCAAGAGAAGTGGTGCCTGTAAGAATTGCTATTGCACTGAAAGAGAAATTATTTGGAATAAAAAGCAGTATCTCAGAAGTCGGGGATGTCCCCAGGGTCTTATTTATATAATATATAAAAACACTCGTTAATGTACATTGCACTAGGGTCTCAGCTTATAAAGCTAAAGTTATTGCCTTGTACAATTTGTCTGGAGGTCACTTGGAAGCACAAGTAGTAATCTGGTTTGCAAAAAGAGTTCCTCACTTAACTGCATAAATGCTGATCCCTGTAACTTTGGCAAAATCATGATTTCTCAGAAGGTTCACCAGCAACAGAGAAAGTTGCAAGACTTAAAATACAGCCCTGGTTGAAGCCTCTCCATTGTTTATGTTCATTTTTGATTCAGACATCTCTAGACATAGCAGCAAAAGCACTTTAATTTATAACTTAACTCACATTCAGTTGATGTTGCCTTTTTTCCCAACAAATAATAAATTTATTATATAGGGAATTCAACGCTATTCAAGGTGTCAGGCTAATGGTGCTGACAGCTAAAGATAGATCCCAAAAGACACATAAATATCTAGCTTCCAATTCCAAACTGAGATCCATGTCTTTTATTAAACCAAGGCAGCCTCAACCACATGTGAGCCACAGTACTGTGTCACTTTTCAAACTTAACAGATCTGAGACTTTGCAGTCAAGTTTGGCTACTATTTTGGCTACTGACAGCTTGACAGTGAACTAGCTTTTGAGCACTTTCAGTAGCTTCATTTTGTTTCTGGAAAAGCCTCCTTTATCCAAAAAGGGCACTTTGGCTGCCCTCAGCCTGAGTACTAACACCTAAAACAGGCAAAGTCCAGAACAAAGGGAGAGGTTTAGCACATAAGGAGAAAGGACTGAGGTGAGGCAAAGAAAAACAAGAGGACTAAGACATTTCCCATATTTTATCTGCATTTCACAGTCAAATCTTCATTGCCCTGAAGGAAAGTGAATAACATCTGCACTTGCCTTTGGCTCCAACATGTTAGGCATAGATACTCCTCTGTCCATTCTCATTCCAGGGACATGACCATCCGGAAGGGACTGCATCAGATACAGGTATACATCAGACACGTAGGTTACACACACAGAGGGTAAAGGCACTCAAGCAGTGGTGAAAACAAAGGTGAATTTGCACTGAGACTTCCTTTAAGTCTTAATGCTGAATCTTACCACACAGGACATTGCTACAGCTACCATTTATCACTCTTCTGAGGCATCCTTCCACCCTCTCTGCCACTACATTTTCTGTCACTAAGGCTGGCGATAGCTGCCCACTGAGACTAAATACAGCCCAGCCCAGGTGGACCTGGGATCTCTGAAAGAACAGTAGGCCCTTCCCAGCCCCAATGATCAGTTAAGGCTCTTTGGAACAAATACGCAGGAGCATTAATTTAGATCCCACCCAACAGCACGTATAAGCACTCTTACACTTCTGGACTGTCCTTTCTGTCATTTACTGTATCAGCCAAGGTATTTTTTTGTCTCTACAATGGGAAATTTTGACTATGAACACAAGTGGGGATAGGGTTCTGGTAAAAGGGTGCTATTTTGACACAGGTACTGTTCCTAATAAATTACATCTTGAGCATAATACACAGAGAACTCTCTTCTCTTCCCATAATCTTATTTTCTTTCTAATCATTGTGGTTTTGATACAGTAGTAAAAATATATATCCAAACAATTAAACCCCTTCTTAAATTGTCACTTCATATTGTGATTGTGCTGAGGAGCCAGCCAGACAAACTTCTGGAAAAAAATCCTGCAGATAGTATTTGGGGTAAAAGGGCTGATTCCTGCAAGTACATATCTTATTAGTTCATCTGTGACAGCAGCACTGTAGAAAGCTATTGATCAGACATCTTGTCTGGAGAGTAAATTTCAGGGAAAAAATAAGGATTTCAAGGCTCTTAGTACGGAAGAAAATTGCCTCCAGAAGAGAATTTCTGTCTCTGGGGCTGATACTAGAGAGGCTGGAAATAAATCTGCCCTCAGCCATCCAAAGAGAGCTACTGCAGATAACTTGTACTTCAACAGACAATGGGTTTAACAGAACAAGTCACAGAACTGGTCAGAGCCTTCTTAACCCAGTTCTGGGGAGGTACAAGGAGGAACCTGAGGTTGTGCCTGTTTTTTATTGATAAGAGTCTACATTGGTGATTATGCTTAAACATGCAGGTAAATCAAAGCTAATGTCTTAAGAACCCCTTTCCTGTAGCAGAAATTCAGACTTCAACAAGAAAGTAGATGCTTTTAATTCCGTTGTCAGTTGATTGACGAGAATCCATACTCTACCTGGAAATCTGAAAAGCAAGAGAGAAATTTCATCTGCTGTAGAGTGTGGAAGAGGAGGAATCAGTCACAATTTACCAGATAATCCTAATGTCTTGTGATCTGCCTGATCTTTTCAAAATCCCACCTGATGCAGGAAACCTCCCTACTTTTAGTCTTAGTTTGTGAAGAATAAAACACTCCAAACACTGCAGACCATTTCAAGTGGGATCCTCAGTCAGTAAAATCAAGTCACTTTGGAAATATTGAGACACACAGAACTATAATCAGGTTCTCACCCCCAAGCTCAAACTGTTTCAAAACATTAAGTCTCATAAAGTTCCATAACTTTCATAAATACTACATCTATCTTAAAGTCACAACGAATATCATGAGCAACAACTGGGATTAGAAGCTATTATCCTCCTTACTTCAGTGCAGCACATTGACTGTGCAGTGGATGACAATTTTCAGAAGAAGAGAACATGGTAGCAGAACTCAGTATAAATTCCAATTAATTACAGATTACCTGCTTTCCATGTATACCAGTGCTAAAGCAGTCTCTTGGCATAAACAGGGGGCAGATCTACATAGCAGATTTAGCAAAATAAACCCCAAACTTTTAACTCTGACTCTACAAGTACATGTTAACTGTCAAGTTTACCAGAGAAATGTATGCAGCGAATACAATGCTACCACATCCACAACATAAAATAGCAGAAATGATCATAGATCATAATACATTCCCTGTAATGAAGTGGCATGTAAAAAGGCCCCTCAGTCTTACCTCTAACACCACCACTCACATCCCCGTAACTGTTGTACTGACCAAAATCTGTAGACACCGGCTGTAACAGGAAAAGAGGGACATGCACATAAATTCCCAGTTCGTGACCTCATAAGTGGGGTGGTATATGAGGAGTAACAAATTGCTTAAAACCTATTGTTCCTCAATTTTCATAAGCTTTCTTGCATTTTTAACACTGAAGTTTGTTGAGAGGGAAATTAGGTTTTGAGTTCAGATGTTCTGTAAGAACATCTTTAAGAACACTATAAGAACATCCTATAAGAATGTCTTATAAGATGTTCTTAAGATGCTTCATAAGAAAGCTTGATCAAACTGAAAATCCACTACATTTAATAGGAAAATACCATAGATTATTAAAGCTACCTTTTGCTTCTCAGAATCACCACCTCCTTACCCTGTGAAGTCCATTTTTTCCATAGCCAGGAAGAGAAGAGGTTTTGGAGGCTGAAGCATGGGCTGTCGAAGGAGAAGAAAAAAATAATTTTACTGAAAAAAAAACATGAAAACTCAAAACCATGAACATTTGAGAAATCCACTAGCAGAAAAAAAACAAAACACAGAAGCACTGAATGTATACATAACCAGCTGAGATATACTGACTTTAAGAAGGTAGCATCTCAGCCCCAAACTCATCACAACCTTCCATACATTCAGTAAGTTAGACGTAGCATTATCATGTCATGGTGCCAGGCTCAAAATCAAAGCGGTCTCCACTGAGCTGAATGTAATGCTCAAGGATTAGACAAGAGAGTAAAATAAATTTTTAGACCTTAGATGAAATATTGACACGTATCTTTAATAATTTCTTTAGTTAATGCAGACCTTTCAGACAAGATTCTTCATATAAGAATGATTTTTTTTTTAATGTTATTTTTATCACAGAAGGACAGGGGCATGGAACTCGAAGCATTCTTGTTGCCAGCAATAAGCAGCTTTGGGAGAGGTACCATCGACTCCACAAAAGGCAACTAATGACTGCATCGATTATCACTGTGAAGAGAGATGAACACATCTCCAATAAAGTGGTACTCCAACCTGTGCTATCAGTAATAAAAAAATCATAAACTCTGAAATGATCAAATAGACTCTGGACCTGTAAACATAACAAGTATTGAGGGAGAACTACAGGCTTTCTCTCCTAAACCATAAATAGATGCAACGCACGTATACAATAAGGAGCACTAAGAAATCTTAGTTTGCTTGGCAGCAGTTATTTTGTCCCATCTTGGCTTGAAGTCCAGCTGCTGTGCTACAACCACCTGTGGATGAAGAGTGAAATAAAACCCCAAAAGCTCATCTCTGGACATCTGTGGTAGCCACTAATGTATATCAAAGTGTGCAAAAAGGCCAAAAGCTGATGTTTATTTTATTTTTTCTTCTCTGCAACACAATACACCCAATCAAATGTCAGCCACTGCTGAAATACCACCTGTGTTTAGAACATGCAGCTCCACTAGTAAGCATTGCTGACTTTCTGTCCCTGAGGAGAGACTAAAAGGTGACTGCAACCACCAATTTAAGTAAAATGTGTTATTGTAATTTAATAAGCCACTTATCACCATGTGTGTGAGGTAACAGTTACTGAAGCTCACTCCTTAACTGTTTTAGGAAATTTCTCTCCCCAAAATAGCCTCATAATTCTCAGGCTCGCATTTCTTCTAGTTTAAAAAAATAATAATCAAAAGAACACAACAACAACAAAAAACACGAACAATCCCCCCACACCCAACTATGACTCCTGCCCTCACCAAAACTAGCTAATGTATTAGCCCACTCTTTTCATGGGAGAACACCACATATCAAGCAGTCTCCCAGTGGTCTCACTTCTGGGAAACCACTGAATATGTGCCTTTGGGGTGTTCATTATTCACTGTTCATTGGTAGCTTCAATGCCTACGTGAATTACCTGGAGAATCGTAACGACTGGCAGAAAGGGATGACCTCTCCTTTTCCATCTCTTCTTTCAGTATCAATTGTCCAAGACCAGAGTTAAGCTAAAAATGGCAATTAAAAAACATATGAATAAAATAAAGCTAGTTGAGGTATGAAAAATTGCTTATGGAAAGAAAAGAAGCATTTTTTGTATGGTGTTCAGAAACAGTATGAAGACAAGGTTATAATAACCTTCATGAGCTGCTCCTCTTGCAGTTGCCGGCGTCTCTGTAGCTCCTCATCGTCTTCCTCTCTTCCACTTGACCTGCGTCTCATGTCAGATCCTGCTTCCATAAAACCACAGTACAGAGAGCTTTGTGTATCCATTCTACTGCAGCTTGAAATTTCAGTGCTAGTTCAATGTATTCATCATTTTGATTTACTGAATAAACAAAGCAATGTTTTCTTGCAGACTCAAGTTATTCAAAATTTGCCCTTCATAAAACTCACTCAGATAGCCTGCCCTATGGCTAACAGTTTCTCATAAAATTAACAAGAAGTTAAACTACACGTGGGCTCCCAGCCAAGCAACGGTCCTGAACTGAAGAATTAAAGTAATAAGGAAAAGGAGCTCAGATTTCTAGTTCTGGAAACATGGGGTTTAGTGTACCTGCAAGTGTACCAGCAGTTAAAAAAAAAGTCTGATTTACATTTATACTTATCTAGACTCAGAAAAGTGAATTTCACATAACATTTCAAGTGGAAAATTAAATTTCATAAATCTCCTGAATAGACTCTCATAGTTGGAATGACTATCACATAATTTCAAGTATAAAATAAAGTAAATTAATTAATCCTTTGGATAAAGCTAAAACGAATTTAGACCACTTCTACACAGGTTTTCTGCATTTTAGTTTCATGATTTTTATTGGTTAATCTTTATCATCTTGAATATTCATAAGAAATGGTCTAATTTCCAATTTGGACACTAGGACACTTCAATGAATACACAGAGTACGACACTGCTGTATGCATTTAGCCAAGTGTATTTTATTCTGCACAGGCTATTTCCTCATACAGCTATTCACCAATACCAACTCAGTGTTTTATTTGAACGAAGGCTCCATTTTGCTACTGAAGTCTCTGAAGGTTTACATCAATTGAATGTTTTGTACAGCACTATTAAATTGATGCTAACATGGAGACAAAAAGTTATCAATAAATTATATCTTTGTATTCAATTTATTTATTATTTTGTTTGATGTCTCAGGCTTTTGCAAGACTTAAGTACAATAGCCGCACGACTTATTTTTTGATTGCTGAGCTCAGTCTAGCTCTGTAACTAAAATACCACACTCAGAAAATCAGGTAACAAGCCTAAAAAACTAGGGCTTGCGAGTTTGTTTTTCAGTGCTTAATGTATTTTTATTTCTGAATAAAATACACCCATGAGCACATTTTTATCTGTATAAACAGTCATGTTTAGTTTTTCAGATGTAACAAAATCACCTGAGAGTCAACGTATGAAGCAGTTTTACTGGAAAAAATAATTAAAGTTATCATCCACAGTCAGGAGAGTGAGCCAAGAGCCAAAATTTCCAACAAAGCCTCTCCCTCTGACACACAGCATAATAATGCTGTAGTTATGACAAGCACCATCAGGAGAGGTTCAATGTAGATGTTAGCACTGTGACTGTAATGTTGTAAAGTTACAATCCTATATAAGGGACATTTTCAAACAATTGCCACTGCATATGCAGCCCCTTTGACTGGTAATCAAGTTCTCCCACATTATGTCACCTCTCACAGCAGTTCTACGAAAATCCCGTTGTGAGAATAACCATACCTTCCTTCTCAGAAAGGAGGTTGAGATAGGCAAGACCTTCACTGTTTCTGACTTGACTTCATAAATCAGCCAGGCTAGATAACTTTTGTACTGTGTTACATGAGGGTCAACAAAATCAAAAGAAAAAAATACATTAAAAAAAAAGTTTAAAAATGATCATGTGCATGATTTAAAGAAAAGTAAATAAGGTGCCTGCAATGCGACAACAAAGAAGAAAAATACACAGTCTATAGAAACAGTAAATCTGAAAAAAAAATAGGACTGTTTTAGTCTATTAATTGCTCCACTGCGGTACTTGCACGGAAACAGTCATGTGGTTGGAAGCAATGACACTTTGTGTGGAATATTTGCCATTAGCTTAGGGCAAAAGCTTAAATAGACAATAACTGAAAGAAGTCAGGCTTGTGTGATACATCATACTGTTATTACGTTACTGTATGGGAATTCACATCAGTTGTCTACAGTTAGTATCTGTGTGATCAGTTCAAATGTCCTTTTGCAAAACCTCCTCTCCTCACTCCTATTCAACAGCTATAAATACCCAGACACCTGGAGGTCTCACCAGAAGAACTACACTTTGTGGAGAACACCTGGATTGGAAACAACCCTCCCTACCTGTTTTTGCACCTACTTTACTTATCAGTACCTCTTAGTCTACATCACTTACATCATTTCTTTAGCATACCTATGGCTGCAAGGGAGGGAGGACCTGGCCAGTGGTCCGTCTCAATCTTTGGTATCTCGTTGGGTGCTGGTGCGTGAGCTGCTGGGAACTTGGAGGACTTGATGATATCCTCGGAGGACTTGCTCTGTGCTGCCAAAGCAGCTGCATCTAGATGGCAATCAGGGAACTTAGCTATGTAGTTATCTTTATCAATATAAATCTCTTCCATATTTTGGCAAAATTTTATACTTTACAAGAAGGCCATTTTCAAAACTATGCATTTTCATGTTTTGCCTTTCTAATTGTAATTGGAAGCAACATAATGATTTCCTCTTGCCAACATATTGGAATCAAGTCTTCTCATCCCGCATCCCTACCCCCAAAATAACCCCAAGTCAGCTTGGGATTTCAATAGGGTTTCAGAGCGTTAGAATGATAGGCAAGAGTGAGAAAATTTAAGCCAACAGTATTTGCCAATATCTCCTAAGGACAGCTGATTAATAATGAAGATGAAACCAGATTTATGCACTGGTTTGTCTTCCCTCTAGGGTAAGAAAACAAATAGTTGAGAAAGACAGCATTAATTTTAACTGTACTGATTCTAATTATTTACTATGTTTCTGTGACAAGCTGCAAAACAAACATAAAAAAAAATCTGAAACAAATATGTTTATTTAACCACTGTATCCTTTCTGCTGCATGTACTTGCTTATTAGCATGCAGTAGCAGTAAAAAAGAGATGCAAATTTATTTATTAACTACTAAACTCCATTTAGATCAACTTGGCAGGGAAAGGCACTTGCAAAGAAATGAACCTCACCATTAACATATCTTAGCAGTGGCACATGCATTTAAGATTCCGGCCTAAGCCAAAGTCACTTAAAAGCATGTGAGGATGTGCATTATGGATTTCACTTCTTGATGTTAAATGTATATATACATATATATATATATATACACACATATATATATACATACATATATATATATAAAATCAATAGGATTTAGTTTGCGTTTAAAACATTCTTAACTACCTCTTATCCATGAACTGTTAGTCCAAATCACCTTTCTCTTATATGAAGCTAATATATCAGAATAAATAATTCTGGATTTTTTCCCCCCTTTTTCTTTTTAAAGGGAAAGATATCTGTTATAAAAATGAAGCACGTTGTTACTCATCCAACACACTCAGAGTAGTTTAGGAAAATCAGTATTACATATCATTGGGAATTCTGAAAATTTTATGATTGGGAAGCTAAGCATAATTACAGGTATGGAGAAATCTGGTCAGAGTTTACAAAAGCATGACTTCAAACAGTACTTACGTATTAGAATTGGTGATGTCAGTGGTTAAACATTCACATGTTAATGGGAGATGAGGAGATACATTAAAACCATAAAAATAAACAAAAGTAATGTTAAGACTTCTAAAATGAGCACATGATTTGAAAACTTAAAAAAGAAAGAGGAAAGAAACCTGATGTAAAACTTCAGCAGTTTACAATGCTCATTCCTGCCTACAGAATGGATTTCCTAGGCTTTCTTAATCATCTCAGCTCAACAGCTCTCAGCCAACTGTTCATCTGAACCCTGTAGTACTGTTAATTTGCTACTTAAATAAGTTTCATTGGGCAAAGGGTCTGCAAAGGGATGCAGAGTCTTTAAAAACTAGAGCCATCTGTCTTTCACCACATCACACAGAAATCTCCTATTTAAAGTTTTCTGTTCACAGAAGAAGGGAATAGAAAACACATTCAAGGTCCCTTGCTCTGCAGTGTTACAGAACAGCAAGGCAGTTGGCTTCTGCCATCACTGTTATTGCAGACTTGCTAAAAAAACATCTACTCTGAAAAGATAAGAATACTAATGCTGTTGTCCAACTCAGAATCCAAACACTGGAACAGCAAATACACTGCACTACCAGAGCTGTTTCCTAGGGCTTGAGAATCAAATGAGTACTGTCAATGACAAGTCGCCTATATTATTTTCAGTATTTAAAGATTCCTGTTTGAAGCCACAATACATTTGGAGTTCCAGTCTGATAGTAACATCCCCATCACTGCTGTTGAAATAAATTGTACTTTGTCTGTTTAAAATAAACATAATCCATGAAGTTCCTGTCAGAAAACACACTGTTGTTAATACATTTTTCCACCACCAAAACCTGTATTCTGAAAACATGAAATTAAAGAAGTAAAATACAGAAAGGCATCACAACACTATAAAGACAGCAAAATCCCAGTTAATGGCAATTTTGCCATTAATATCAACGTGGCCAAGATTTAAGCCATATGATCCAAATGAAACAACATGCGTTAAAACAATCACTCAGCAGGACATGCAATAAAAGCTGTTTCAGGCTTGGACTACTGATTTTTGATGCTTGCAGCATAAACACTGAATACTTCTCACTATCCTGCATGCATTTCAATTGACAATCCAGTTCTGAAACAAAAAGAGAAAGATCATTTACCATGTTGTTTGTAGATTGGAGGTTTTCTGTAAATGTTGACACCTTGATCTGTGAAATTGAGAAAGAGAAAAATGTTGATATGAGAACTACTTCAGTTATAGTTGAAGTTAACCCCAACACTAAAACAGCAGACAGACCAAATCAAGGATGTAGCACAAGAAAAAGCCAGTATTACACAGAATCAGATTATTTGAAGAAAAGAAAACATAAGAACAAGTGACAAGTCAAAGACATGTGGTATGAAGTCCTTTGGAGCTGATTCTGTAACATGTGGATGCATCCAAATCATGACCAATTTACTTCAAATATTCAGAAGATTATCAGTGTCACAGACATTAGGAAATGCAAACAAGCAAGAGATTTCCATGGTGAAGATACAAGCTATTTGGGGAAACTACCCCAAATAACTTCTTGTGGAAAATTGTGCTTCAGTAGTAACAGCTCAATTTTCTTTCCAGCTGACTGGCTGGATTGAGAAGAGGATAATGCAGCGAGCCTACAATTCACTTTAAAACCCAGAGAACAAAATAGCTGCCTCACACACTCTTTTGAACAGTCAACAGCTAGATTTCACTGAGTCAGTGCTAAGGGATACACTGCTAATCCTCAAACCACAAGGATAGACTTTTTAAAATATATATTTATTTTTTATTTAAGGACCACCACATTGCACATTGCAATGTAAATCAGGAAAAAGCCACTTCCTGGAACCCTAATGGAGTAAATCTACTGCATGTCTAAAGATAAAATATTGTTGCAAATAGTGATCCAAGACAGAAACTACATTTTTCTAAAGTACCCACCCACCTCAAACCAACACTTCATGTATTACAAATACAAGATCCCATTAAAGTGCTACAAATACACAGATCCCATTAAGCTGTTACAGGAGACAACCTCTGGCATTAAGGAAAACCAAGTAGAAATCTACCGAAATTAAGGTAAAACTTACTCTACGGAACCCTTCCTTGGCTAAGTAGGCCAATTCCTTGCACACAAAGACACTGCGGTATTTCATTCGTGTTCATGATCTGTTAGGGCTACTTGAACAGCAAATGGGTATAGCTATTAAAGGGCAGTCACGCAGTACTTTTGTGCAAGCCTGAGCTAGAAAGTCGTAAGGGGGCTGTGAAAACGGCTCCTGGGGGGCTGCCCTGTGCCAGGTGAGCAGGACAGCTCTCCCACCACACTGGGGACTGTTTACTTGGCTGGGTAAGTCATGCAAAGGCACTTTAACTTGCACAAGTAAAAGCAGCCAGGTTAGCTTAGGCAGTAAAAACAGCCCACATGGGCCATGCCAGGTCATACTGTCTGAAGGGAAGCTCCCATCAGTGGTTCATCTGCCTGGTCTGAGGCCAGGAGGCCCAGCAGTAACCTCTGCAGTGCAAAGGGACACTAGATGGAAGGGGACCTGAAGAATAACTGGATATAAGGCTGTCAGCTAGCACTGATGCAGTCAGTGTGTGTCCACAACCCTAGGGACACACATCCTTTCCTATCAAACTGCAAGACAGGTGATCTCAGAGGCTGCAGCTCACATCTAAACAGATATTGCCCTTTATAGAGAGTGCATCCTGATGCACACATGTCCTTGCAGATCTGCAGGGCTCTGTGAGGACACCATGCCACTGCACAAAATAAGTGAAATATCCTCATTTGGATTTTATTATTATAAAATAATAATAAAAAAAGGAACAATAAACTGGTTCAAGACTGAAACAAGTCCCAACCATGACTATACATATAATGGCTCACTGGTCACTGGGAATCGCAACCAACTCCTCCAAAATTAGCAGAATGATGCTGGTGCAACTGAGAGAAAGATCAAGCCCTACATAGCTTACATCCAGCTCACGGGCCACTAGCAGACCATGAAAAACATGGTATTCTAACAGTGAAACACCTGACCAACAGAACAGAGAAAAATCACCAGAAACCCCCCATTTCTGAAGGCACTGCTCCTCCCAGGAAGCCGAGGAGCAGGCAGTCCCAAACCCTGCGTGCGCACACCATGGCAAACAGCGTGAAACAATGGAGACAAGACAGGAGTTACAAAGGCTACATTCTACACTGTGACAGGACACCGAGACACATACAGTGCCAGCTCCTACCTGGAACATGGAAATGTTTAGGGGCCTGAGCGTAAGTTGGAGTGAGAGGGCGGCTGTCTGGCCGATAGGGGACAGGGGAGTTCCGACCGCTGGACGGCTCATTGCCTCCAATGAAAGAATGGAGAAAACAAAATGAGAAGAGGGAGAGCAACAAACAAAATAAGATAAAATAAATTAAAAAAGCAAGCCCAATCAAACCCAAACAAAATTGGTGGTATCAAAACCTCCAGGGAGAAATGTTTGAACCAAAAATATAAACACAAACAATAACAAGGTCTGGTAGCCCTGGTGACTTTTTTTTTCCTCATTTTCCTGCAGAAACAAAGATTTGTGTTCAGGCTGGAGTTGAGGTTTTAGCAGCTCACACTCATTCTGACGGCATGCAGGCAGGAGCTGTGTGCTGGCAGCTGGTGATTAGATGGGCGATGTGGAAAAGAAGAATGGAAGGTTACTTGGCAATGGTTTAACATGGCTATTGATATTTGGAGTTAAAAGTCGCAGGCACAGAGCACAGTAGTTGATACGCAAACCCAAAATGAAACCAACTCCCGAGCAGGGAGAAGCAGATGCTGGCAGTTACTACAGTTCCCTAAACCAGAAGCGCAGAGAAGCTAGAGATGGAAAACAGCCGTTAGGTCACTTGGCCAATATCAAAATGCATACCTGTTCCTTACACACTCTTTCATTGGTTTATTCTTCCAATAGGAAGTTTTTGATATGGCAAAATAATTTGTAGAGCAATGCAGCCCACCTGACGGCTGAGCCCTCATCACTGGTGCCACCCTGGGTCTCTGTCAATGCCATGTCTGGCTCCAGTGACAATACTTCATGACTGCTGATTTAGCAAATCTGAATCAATTGTCTAAAAACTTAAGTTCCATTTGTATGGTTATTCTTACTAGGACTATATCTTTGCCTCCTAACAACCCATCAGCCCTGAAAACTCCCCCAGTCAGTGTGAGGGCTGCTGCAGAAATAAAGTTTGGTTCCTAAGCCCCAAGACTTAACGGGCAGATTTCCCAACACACAGCTGTGTGTATTCCATAAAAGAACACTGCTGCCTTTTGCTTTGTGCCTTTCTTCACAGTAATGCAAACTCATACAAGCAAAAACTGTCCACCTGAGTGCTCAGTTTATATGGGTGTGTAAAAGGTAGGGGAGCATCAAACCTCTTCAATTTTTCAAGTATGCACCAGGGATTAAAAAAAAAAACTAGCGAAGTTGATTAATAAAGCAAGAAAACCAAAACAAAACACCACCACCAAAATAAAATAGTAGACAAGAAAGCCATAAAACATTAAAAAAAAAAAATGCAGGCCTTCTTTCAGCTGCAGGTTTCCTATGCTCCGTTAGACTACCCAAAACCTCAGACTAAGCACTCTTCTTATTTATACATTGGGGGTGGGGAGTTTTCTTTTACACCATTCCTCTTTAATTTGAGTGGTAATCTACCAATCTAAAAGGCACCAGAAAGGGAAAAAAAAAAACACTCTTAACATAGTTAGAGTTGTGTCTCTGTGAGACACAGTTGGGTCTCACCTAGACCCAACAAAGTATGCTCACATACTTAAGGTATGCTGGCTAATCTCCTAGCTGGTACACAGATAACTTTTTTAGAGAAAACTGGTGATGTTGTATCATGCACACAGTACAAGGCACACAGTTAGCATGGTATCCTCCTGCACGTGTTGCTTTGCAGATGTCTCTGTCGCCTGGTATTTCCCGGGGTTCCTGCACGGTCCGTCTCTTTCTAACGACTGCTACTAGTACTGATATATGACTCTCCTTTACAGTTTCTAGGATTGCAATCTCATTAACTCCAACCCCTGCAGGAGGGAATGGTACATCTATTTAGACTCTCATTAGATCATCCCTGGTGAGCCCACTTTCATAACAAGGCTTAAATGCTTCAGATGCAGCTATAAAATCACCCACCATTTATAAAAGCAGAATTTTGTGTTAAAGTTCATGCTTAGGAACCTGTGTTTGCAGAGAACCAAGAACATAATTATTTTTATTTGCTTGTCATTCTTAAAAATCACTACAGGTTAATAAATACAACATTCTCTGATGCCTTCTCAGAAATTAAAATTAAAACCATCAAAAACTGAAATGTTTTGTTTCTAAAAGACCCAATCTTTTTCTAATTTATTTTTTTTTATACTGCAACAAATCTGCAAAAACAATGTGTAATTGTTATAAGACTTCATCCATATACCCATTTTTCAGTAAATAGAAATAAATTATTTTCAACTTTGCCCAGAAGAACTGTATAGGCTTCTGTACTGAGCAGCTATCAGGTACCATCTACAGTGGGTCTTAGGAACAGAAAACCTTAGGAACTTCATGTTAGAGTTGCTTGGAAATTTTTAATGTTTTGGTAGGAAAACGGCACTGTTGGAGTCTAAAATGATTTCTAGAATAACACAGGCTTGGTAGGCATTTGCTGAACACTAGATAGTGCCTGAGGGACTAGAAAAGGCTAGCAGTTCTGGGTCCCTGACCCTAGCACTGATCTTAACGCATGTAGGAGATCAGAGAAAATGCATAAAAGGGTTTTGAAGTGAACAAAAATGACTAGCCATGCTTTGGTCAGTTTTTCAGTATAAGGACACTTTTCTTATGACTTCAAGCATATGAAGTGTCCTGCTGGGTTTGGTGCTGAGGGAAAAAAACAGTTCCAAGTTCAAAGAAAATTAGTGTTCAAGTGAAAATGATGCACCACAGAAACATGCTTATGATGAAATGGAAAAAAACAAACAAACAAAAAAACTCAGCAGCACTCCATGAAATCTTTCAGAGGCTAACTGTACTGAAATTTCCACGAACAGAGTCCTCAGACAGAGCACCCTAGGCTATTAAGAAATCTTTACTAACTTCAACTACCTAAAATGTAAAATGGCTCAGGGGGTACTTCTTGAAAGGAAATGAAGAATCAATGCTCTGGACAATACTGCTTCAGAAAATGTCATTTCTTTAGTGACAGACTACATAAATTGGAAGAAGCCTGTGTATCTTCAGTATCGATGTCTTTAGAGTGGGCATATGCAGACAGGAAAGCAGAGCTAACCTGCCTGTACTTACCTCCCAGTGCCTTGAGGCCAGCAGCTTTACGTAAAAGTAGGGGCTGAGCCCACTGCACTGGGGTTCTTTGCTGTGCCTACACCCAAAAGCCTGTCTTCATATCCCAGAATAAGCTGTAACTGGTTTTGACTCCACAAAGCAATGAGAGCACTCCAGTTTGCCAATGCTGTGGGAAAATCTAATTCCTGCTCCCCTGGCATGAAGCTTAATGTGTGTGTGTGTGTGTGTAGATGGGGGATATTAAAAAAAAAAAAAAAAAAAAAGTTATTTTAACAGATATCAGTCACTTGAGCACAGCAATCACTAGGCCCACCGTGTGATTCACAAGCTAAATTCACAGAATCAGGCTAAAAAAAAGTCAGTATACAACCAACACTGAGCTTTCTGTCAACCTGCAGTTTAGTTGCTTTACTTCTGAACAGACAAAAAACCACCTCAACAGAACCTAAGCCTTAAGTCCTTTTCATGTTTCGTCCAGCTGCCATTCATCAGCTTATCCAAATGTGTAGCCCATGTTTCCCAAACAAGTCTGAAAGTCGTGAAGCAGCCAAATCATAACTGTTTTCCAGAGCAGAACTTTCAGCTACATCCACAAAACCCTGGAAATTTATCACACACACACAGAGTATTTGATTTCAGAGATCCGTCTTGGGGCAGGAAAGGAGGAACCTGTGAAAAACAAGGCCCAGATTCACTATGGAGGTCTGTAGATTCATTATGGGAAGGTCTGGGAGTAGACGAAACCTCCCCCCTTAACTTGGTGCTCTTTACAGACAGAAATCTTATGGGGGCTTTGCAATCTTCTTGAATGCCTCTGAAAAATTCTAGGCATGTAAGATGAAATCCTGGGTCTCAATGAAAGTTTTGTCTCTGATTTCAGTAGGGTCAGGGTTTCTTTCATTCACGGACTTGTTTTGATTCTTTCATAGCGAAGACAGTACTTTATTGAGACAAGCCCAAATTCAATGGAGAGACCAAATGAGTTTAAATGAAGTCTGAATTGATGTATATTATACCCTCTTTCAGCCTGTTCAACATGTAAATTACATCAACAAACTCTAACTAAGATCTCCTTAGGCATATTTAGCCCCCTCAGTTCTTAAAGGCCTTAAAATCTGGCCTTGTCTCCAAGGCATGAGTATTACACTGATTTAAACATTATGCTGTACCTAAACACGCAATCCGGTGTAAATGTCAACCTTTTTTGGCTTAATGATACAAAATATACAAAATAACACAGGTGTATGTGTCAACTGTCAACTTCATTATCATTATGCTGTTTGGAAATTACGCCCCTTTACTATAGCAGTTTTAGCTTGACCTATATTCTCTGACTCCTTAAAAAAAATCAACACAAAACAAAACACTACAGCTTTATGAAAATTTTCCAGCAAATTTACACCAATTCTACCTTCGTGCTCAAAGTACAAGTGGCTTTGAAAAAGGCCAAGTACAAAGATGTATGATACCTATTTGTTAAATCATTGTAAACATATCTATCACATCTAATTAACTCCAGACAGTGCTCCAGTTCTCATCTCAGATGTATTCGCAGGGGTGACTCCCTAGTAGAAAAAGAGGTGTTACTCTCAAGGGTAAAATAAGGCAGTTCTTTAAACTTTGAAAACTGACGGTTATGATATCGAAGGCAAACCACCACAGACAAGATTATTAGGGAGTTGCATTAGGTGCAGCCAGTACCAGACCGATTGCTCTTTTCTGCTAGATGGATGTAAAAAAAAGGGGGGGGGAGGGGATGCTAAGTGGACACTTGGTATACAAGGAGAACAAATGCAGAACTATGTGGGAAACCCAGCTCAACCCACCAGTGGGTAACGATAGCTGTATTAGAACATGGAGTAGTGAAGAGGACACATAATACAGTGCAACTGGACTTCACTCAACACTACCTGAATGATTAAAAAAAATTACCACACCAAATCCCCTAATTAAATTCAGAGCAAGCTATACTGTCTCCTATGAAAACATGTTCTCCTACATGTTGTGACAGGCACAGGGCTTATTTAACAAAAACATTCTCTCTCCCTATAATCTTGTATGCATATAGTACATACACACATATATACACCATGTGGGTTTTCTGAGTGCATCTGGTTACAAACTATCTTCCATCATAATCTGTTCAAAGGACAAGCCAGAGCTTGCTGTGACTTCAGGAACATGACAAACATTTGTTCATCTAAAGTTTGGGTTTTGTCAGTGCTCCACTGATCACTTAACATACTGGAAAAATTATGAAAGTCTTCAGGCCTGTTGACTTTTTGTACCTCTCAGTGTTTTGTAGCAATGGGAAGACAAAGATATTCCAATACCTACTTATCTTCAACTTAAACAAATGAGAGAAATCATGATTTTTGCCTAATTTCAGTGTACCGTAGGACCTTACTGTATCTTTACCTGCTATATAGGAGAAAGTACTGTTACCACACATTTCTATTACACAGGTAAATATCACTATCAAATTGTTCCATCTGATAGTACTAATAAATTAACAGCATTAACTTTTTCACTATGAGATTTGCAATAATTTGATGATCCTTCTCTGAAACTTCTGCAGCTTTTCTTATGTTGCTCATCCTGCTGTGAATCTACCAATTCCCTGTAGGTCTTGTAACATCTCTACATAGCTCTTCTAGCTGGAGAATCTCCTTCTTCTGTCCTATCCAACCTAACATCCACAAGAACAGCCAAGTTCTCTTCATGGTTACTCCTTTTTCCAGCAGATATGGATGGACATCATTCAGAAGCACGGCTTACAGTTGGCTGCACTGCTCACTGAAAAGGCTGTTGCTCGTGTTCTTTATTGGCTGCTATTCTCAGAGTCTGCATGTCATCAGGAAGCTCTGCCTGCAATTTTACTACATGCTTTATTTCAGATCACTAATAAAAACATCCCAAGTTACTTTATCTATGTATGTTTTTATAGAAGTCTGAGTTTGGCTCAATGCTCTAGCTCAGCTTGCAGTGGTGAACTGAAGCCCAAGAGCGTACTTTCTGTTTTACTGAGTGGCCCCCTTCCTCCACAGAGAAGAAAAACAAAAGGAAATGAAAACCATGGGGACATTCCCACCACACTAACCTGTAGCACCTAAACTGAAGTGCTCTAGGTCACCTTAAGAAGGTGCTTTTTTCCTCAACTGGCAATTAAGAGATTACTCTTCCAATTGAGCCATGTGAATTACAAACTGTAAGCACCTGCTGCTTGCCCCCTCTCAAATGCACCACATTCTCAAATGGTGCATGTCACAGTGATATGAACCACAGCTTTGGGAGCCTTGCTTAGTTACCACATGTGAACCCTGTACAGGCCTAAGAGCTTTACGTAAAATTTTCAGAAAATGGTAGATTCTTACAATGTTCTATGTACATCTACTTTGTAAGAACCATACTCACCCCCTTGTCTATAGCACTTACAATTCCAATTAGCCTTTTGCACCAATAGCTGAGATACAGGGCTAATCTACACATGAATATCTTTGAAACATGAAAACAATAGGCATGGTTTTTCAATAGTTCTTCTGATTTATCTACTGAAGAAGCTATTTTCTCAACAGAAAAAGAATGAAAATGCCAGTTGAAAGAGTGTAGGTAGTAACTTGGGTTAACAGCAAAAAAAAAAATAAATGTTGAAATTGCAAGGGTTATGGATTAACTGCATGCTGAAATAAGCTGTGTATCTATTTTTAAGGGTCCCAATCTTTTGAGTTTGAAGTGAGGTGTGTTTTTTTGTTTTTGTAGTGACATATTAGGAAAGTTGAAGTGCATATTAACAAAAATCACCTCAGGACAAGCTAAACTAAAATTAGTAATGGTGATCTGAATGTTTCAGGAGAGATAACATTGAGATCTATTAGCATTTATTGAAAGCGCATGGCAACAACTGCCTTGCAACTGTTTTTAACTCCAATTTCTGATTATCTGTGTTAATCAATGGTGCCAGAATAGAGTCTGTGCTCAACATATGTAATTGCCTCTTCTTGAGCTTTTGTAGGTGATATAAGCTATGACTGTCTCCCCCAACATAAAGAAACAGCACAGCCAAAGAATGCTCCAATAGAAATAAAAGTAAAACCACATCCAGAGAAAGCAAGAAACTAAAAGCTTGTTGAGCTGAATGAGCTCCTTGAAGGGACACATAGAAAAAACTCCGCCCTCAAATCAAATAACAAAAAATTACAGGTTAAAAAATGAGAAATGACCAAATCCTCAGTTAGCGTAAATCCTTGCAACTCTACTGACTTCAGCAGAGTTTGCTGATTCTCACTAGTTGAGGAGAGGCCTAGGGATTTTATTTTGTTGGGCACCTAGTTATTGCCAATACTGATTAATAATGATTTATTTCCTTATTGGCACTGATCTTGATATAACTTGTGGTATGTTGTGTTTTTTTTCCTCATATTTTTTGGGTGACCTTGGTCTCATTCAGGCAGGATTTGTAGTTAATTTTTAAATGTGCATTTTAAGAACGTGAACATAATTTGATATGCTAGTTGCTGTAGGGGTTGTTACATATTACTTTAGGAAGAGGCTAAGTTAGGCACGTATAGGCTCTAAGCAGTAGATGATAATGCTTCCCTCTGTATTTCTAACAGGGAAATTGCTTGATGACTTGTCAGCTAGGGCCCTTAGAAATGACATATTTCCTCTAAGAAAGGACATTATGTCTATTCTACCAGAGTTTAAAGTGTAACGGCACATTTCGAGGCATGCTCAGCTACGCAGCCAATGATAACCTTACGAAGATGCACCTCATTAGCTTTGACAGAATGCTAATAAATCTCCAGCCTGGAGGGTACTCCTTGGAGAGGCCTGGCTCCTTACCTTTGACATGGGGGATGAAGTGGTGTCGGAAGGGGGAGTTGGGGCGGGAGTCATGGTGTGCGGAGCTGAGACTGCTAGTGCGCAGGTATGACAACCGCTGCACACCAGTAGAGAGCAGCTCTGCGGCAGCAGGGAATCGGGGGGCAGAACAAAATGAAAACAAAGAAAAATAATAAGAGAAAGGCAGGGAAGGAGGCTTCAAAGGAAGAAAAAAAAGGCATTAAACAATTAGGATTCTGAAAAGGAGGAAGGAAAAAAAAAGGTTAAAAGACGTACCAAAGGGTTCATAAACATTAGACAAAGTTACAGCAAGTAGTTGAAGAGAGGCTCAGATTTGAACTGCATTACTAATTCAGCGTAATATTTACTTGCTTAATGAGCTTCTTATCTATGCCTTGTTACCAGAAAATAGCCTGCTGCCATCATGCAAATATCACAAACATTGACGCTCAATTAGTTAAGAGAGCAGCTGTTTGAAAAGTGCCTGACCAATTCCACATCAGTCAAGAGGCATGCAAGCTGCCCTCTATTGTTTTAAAGCATTCCAAAAATGCTGCCAACGTCAGCTAGGGCATCACGGAAAAGGCTGCAAACTTTTTCAAAACTTGTAGCACTCAAATTTTGAAGAACCTGATGCTGACAACGTCAACACAGTGCTTCACTTCTCTCTCAAGGGCTAGCTGGAAGCCAAAGAGGAGTTACCTGGGGCCACTGCATTTATTCAGAGAGAAGTTATTCTTGCAAATAACATGATTACAAGAAGTGATATTAGGAAAAGAATGTTAAATATACACATGCTATTATTCGATATGAATAATACTGGAGGAAAATTATAAATTAACAATCACCCCAAAGCAGGGTAGCAAAGATCAATTCTATAGAATTCTACAGATTTATGTCTGTGTCAAATGAGAAACAAAAACAGGTTAGCCAAAGATGAGATCATCTGAACAGAGATAAGCTTGAACAAATATCTTCTCGGAAAATCCCTCGGGCTGTGAACTTTTGAAGATTTTACATCTGGACCCAAATTCTGGCTTGAGCCCATCCGCCCATCAAAGAGTTACACAAACAGAACCTACTTCTGAGGAACATCCTTGACTGAACACAGACAAAAAAAAAAATCAATCACAATAAGGTCTGGAATAAGTCTTGGATTTGTTCATGCCCCTGACACAACCGATACAAATAGAGAAATCCCCTTGAAATTGCCAGAATCAAGAGACAGAAGTTTGCAGCTTTTTCATGCTTTATAAGTCTCTTTCAGTTTTCATTATAATGTCATCTTAAAACACAGTCATGTTGTCAGCACTAACTATCAGACACAATTTGCTTCTGTCCCACCTCCCTTGGGCCCATTAAATAAGGCATTCACTGACAGACACAATTAGCTGCTTTCAGCCCACCCTTACTAGGAAATGGCTCCAGCACTCAAGTTCCACAGCAGTGGCTCTACAATAAATCTTTAATTTTAAAATTGCAGCTGCTATTGTGGATGGGCCTTTGGCATGCTAAGTGTTCGTCTGCAATCACCAAGGAAGATGGAACTGCACGATTGTATCACTTATTTTAAAAATGGGTCACAAAGATTTAATTCATTACCATAAAGAATAAATCAATCTTGAAAAGTATTCAATGAATTACATTTACAGATACGTTTTCATGCAATTTGGGTGTGGATGAACACTTAATTTTCACGTATTGCTTTCATATTACACAACCAGTAATTTGAATGCTCTTGGAACCTGAATGACTGTACATTCTCTGTATTATACATAGAACTTATGCATTATTTCTAAATCAATAATAAAAGTTGTGGTTTTTTTTTTTTTAATGTCCCCTATCAATTGTCCATGGTTTCAATTAAAAAAAAAAATCTATCTTGCAAACTATGAGTATGTTTAAAAATTGACTAACAATTCAGAATATGCTGGATTATTTATTTTATATAAATATTTTTTTAGGAGAGAGGAATCCTACATTTGTGACTTCTCTATAGTCAAGCCATAACTTTTGTTTCTAAGATGTGATACTTTTCCCAAATTCCTGAATGAAGGTTGTGTTTCATTGCTGGAAATTGTTGCTCACTTCTACCAATATACACACATTTACAAAATAATTAATCAGAAATAAAATCAGAAGATCAGTATTCATGACACTCATCAATCTAGGGCAAAAGACTGCATCAATCATGAACAAAAAACACAGGGAGAAGAGAAGATATTAAAATATGATACTATTTTTCAAATGACTGCTAGGAGAAACAAATGCTTCTCTGTGCCACTCAGTGACATAATAAACACTACTTTTGTACATCCTTCTAATGCAGTTGCCCTTACCAGGTCTGTGGAAATGCTGAGGGGAACGTGACATGGTGGGTGTGTAGCTGTGACGACTGTACACTGGAGAATTAATGGAGCCCTGACTAGTAGACCTGTGAATCATGCGGTCCCGAACATCTTGATAACCCTGCAGAATAGAAGCAATTAAAAAGAATTCACTAGTAAATATAAATGCGTGTTACACATTTCTTTTAGCAATGCTCAACTTTTGTGGATCTGCAGATATCAACAGAAGCTACTGAAACAATATTCCCTAAGCTTTCAACCCATTTCATTATCACTGATTGCTAATGATCTGTTCAAAGACTCTGATCCATTTTTATAGTCAGTGTCAGAGTTGAGTCTTGGAAGGTTCTAACTGCACCTGTCATTTAGGGTAACTTCTATTAAATCTTATGTAATCCTACATTTCCCCACATTCCTGTGATTCCACAAGGGCAGTTGCCTGTTCAGAGGATGCCTGTGCTGCAGCACATGGCAGAAGATACTCCTGAGCCAGCCTTCAATTAGCTAAGGTGGAGACCAAGAGGAGTTCAAAAGAGGCAGCTCAGAGCTCTGTGGCTTAATTTACCATGTGTCTCAGCTAGATACAAACAGGGTTTTTAGTACTCAAATTAGATCTGACACCCCCACCCAACCATCTGAAAACATGAAGCCTTCTTCTACAGCAAAACTCAGTTTTCTGTTTCCTGGAAAACAAAACAAACCAGAACAAGCCAAAACAAACCCAGAGCCGACAAAACAAAAAACACACACAAAGCAAAGCAAAACAGGACGAAAAGGGATGAGAGCAATTTGAATGCACAAAGAATTACATCAAATTTTATAGTCCCATTTTTTTGTTGTTGTTGTTTTTAACCACATAGCAATCACCGTGACTTTTATGTGGCAAACAAACAATACTCTCCACCCCCAAAATGAAAATGTTTATGCAATAGCATCTATAGGAACCTGACAAATAACTTTACAAATATTTAATGTTACCATAGTGTTCAAAACAGCCCCCAGGGAAAACCAAACCAAACCATAGTTATGTTTCCTTCAAGGCAAAACTACAAATGTTTTAGTAGCAGCCATGTCTTCTTATTTAAATGCTTAGAGCAGCATTTTAGCTCATGTCAATCATCCATCTCCAGAGATCCTGCCTGTGGCAACCAGAAGGATCAATGTACAAGAAGTGACCTCTGGTGGACAAGTGGCTCTGCTTTATAGACAACAACTGGGTAGCGGCACAAGCTTCATTTCTCATACAATCTGTCAATGAAAGCTTAATGTTTTCTTTTTAGAGTTAATTTTCCTTAAATTTCAATATTCAGAAAACATTTCTACATAGCAGAAAGAGATCAGATGGGTAACAAAATCTACACCTGCATTTTCTGAAGTGAGCAATTGTAATCATAGTAAGATTATGTTCCACCAAACTTACTTCTGCAGAAGGGGTAGGTGATAACGTCCTTGGAGACTGCAAAGATACAAAAAAAAAATAAAAATAAGGTTACAGAATCATCACTGCATGTTTTGGGCTAGAAAATGGCAACCCAGACATTGCTGCAGATACACGGATATACAGCAGTATGAAGTGGCAAGGTAGACATTACTGAGGCCATCATAACACCGTAACTTGCTTTTTCCACATTGCTCAGGAACTGGTCCATAAATCATTGAAGCAATTAAAGTCTCTGGGAGAATCTTTATAAGTGTGATTAATTCAGTCAAATATCATGAAACAACATCTCTCAACCATCTAATCATTGTGGTAGTTAAAGCATATCTGTAGAGATCAGAATCAGAAAGGGTTATTAATTTAATAAGCATGCCTGTTATGAAGAAATCTTTAAAGTGGAAATCCAAAGTAAATAACCTTAACTCAAAGCTTTGCATGGCGTCAGAAATAGAGAATGATTTCCAGGATGAAGCATGCTGTTCCTCCAACACACACAGTCTGGCAAAAATCTCCTTTTCCTCAAGGCCTTACATTTCACAGCCAATGCAAAGCAGCACGTAGTTGTCATCAACATTTCTTTGATATGATCTCTCTCTAAGTTAGCTTTGTATTCATCCATCATTATGCAAGGAGCACAGACAGGAATTACAGCATGTATATTGAAAGAAGTATGCAAAAGCCAGTGGTAAGAAATATGCACAATAGTTATGAAGAGTTTCTATTACGTAGATAGGGAAACTGAGGCAAGACATACCTTTAGAAATGAAGCATAAGTTCATGCATAAATTGGTGGTATAAACAGGAATAAAGGCCATGTATGATTACCAGTTATGTGTCTTTTATCACAAGACAATTTGAAACTGGAAGATCAGGATTTAAAATATTTATTCTTTTATGCATTAAGTTTCCATATTACTTAATTGCCACAGCAAACATGGCAAGAGTTTATGCTTTTAAATATGACCACAGTTGTTATAGGATGACATAGCCATTAAGACAATGTCTCAGCACCAAAACTGCTGATTCTGGTTTAACTATTACAATAATGCACAATAATATTTAGTGTAAAATGTATGCTCAATTTCAGGTAATAACCAGAAATTCACCTCTACATTTTGCAGTGTGAGACCATTAACTCTCACAGAGCTGTTCACACTGGTGATTATTGCAAATAACCACATTTCCATAATCTGTTGCCTACTTGCTCAGGCAATGTAAATGGTTGTCACAGGAATCTAAGACTGGGAAGGCAACCCAGAAAGTGACTTGCTGATTCCATGACCAACATTTCAGGTATTTCCACTCATCACTATCTGACATCACCTCGTTGCTTTTTGGGAAATGGAACCACCCTCTGCAGCCAACTCATTGTTTCATCATGCATAGGTGAACGGCTGTATTTTAAATTCTGAGTCATGTTTCTGCAGGGCTTATGAAGTCTTTTAAAATCTGTTCTGTTGCACAAGTCTTTACACTAGTCAGTTCAAAATACGCTCTGCAGTAGACTGTGAAGACAAAGTTCCAGAATAGTAAGCCAGTGGAAACACAAAATGATATCTTCCAGATTTTAAAAACAACATCAACAAACTTTGGTAGAGCTGTAGTGAACAAGTTTACAGCAAAACTTCTACTCCCCGCAGCAGGCTCAATCTTCTGTCTGTCACTTTGAGATCTACAGGGGCTGCTCTGATGCCTGCAGTCATGCAGATCACTCTGATTTTGGGGAAATTCTGGCGTGCAACATTTTGGCCATCTTTACAGGTGTAATTTTACAATGCAACTTCCAGCACTTTGTTCTGATCTCATTTTAATTTCCTTTTTAATGAACTACCAGGTATGATGCCTGCTCCATTTTGAAGCATCTATCACATTAGAAAAAAGCAGTTTTCTCATTTTACAGCAGTTTATTTACTGAAAGCTGCTACATACAGTCATTGCTCTCAGCTGACAGAAAACTAAAACCAGAGAACACGCAGGGTAACATTGCTTCTCTCAATATTTATGCAGCACAAGTCAGAGCTGATGAAAGACTTGATTCCTGTGTGAATCAGGTTGCTGCTAGCATGGCAGAAGTTAAGGGCCTGAAGAACCTGAGCGACTTTGACTTTCTAGAAATTTTATCATTGCATTAAGGGTCAGCCTCAGTAGCAAAAAAAAAAAAAAAAGTACTGATTTCAGGCAACCATCTTCAGACAGCCACAGAGCTGGCTCATTTCTCATCTGTTTTGTCTAAGAAGCTAAACCTCCTCTTCACGACCTTCTTGCTGCTGGAGGATCTGTAACTCAAGCATCCAGTATCTTTAACTAAAATATCCAGTTCCCGCTAGATGGTGCTATGTGAAAGCGTTTTTCATCACAGGTTTATAGAAAAAAAAACAAAATTGGGATTTAACTGAACACCACAGATTATCAGTGAGAAACTTTTCAATGCATTTCCCTTCCATTGCAATGAAGAATAATTTCTCATGATGTTTCTTCACCCTTTCTGTAGCTGAAGTATACAATTTTCTTGTAGTTTATTCCCTGTAATTTAAGGATTATCTCCACTACTGGGTTACTTTTGGTTGCTCTTAGACACCTGCCTTGTATACACACGCACATCTTTCTTACCTGAGTTTGATTTTTTTATATATATATATTTTAATTTATGTAAAGGGCATCTCTAGGGTGCAAGCTTAAGGTCAGGCTCACCTTTTATTTAACCCTACCACATGTAAACACTTTACAAAAATAATGCAGGCTAAATTACTCAGTCTGTAAATCCCTGCCATGACTAAACATGCCACCTCCTTTGCTTTTTAAGGATGATGGTAACTGATATTTGAAGATTAAGTGTCACTCATATCCACCAACACAAACACAAAGTAAGAGATCACTCCACCCCTGATGGGCTTACGCTTTCATAAGGGAAAGGGAAGGGAGGAGAAACAGGCACAGAGAGGCGAGGTGAATTGCCCAAGGTCACAGTAGTCACCAGTAGCATTGGGTAGAAAACACAGATCTATTGAAAAGATGGTAAGAACCACTTTGTGTCGGGAACAAATTTCTGTAGTCACAAGAAATTAATTGGATTTAATGCTGGTGATAACACAGGGTAAGAAAACCCCAAAGGCTTTTGCTTATTCCCGGAGCAAGCATTATGGCAGACATATGCCTTTATCAGTGAGCAGCATCCCCTTAAGGATTAACAAAACTGGGCGAAATCAGTTCTTCCTCTGTGACTAACAAGAGATTTGTGTTTGTAGATGGTTCTGTGGAATGGCTCAGATCTGTTGGAACTGGTCAGAGATCACCAATGCATCTCACAGGAGTTATGAATCATATGTCAGCTGGATTCGCTGCCAGCCTGAATCTGAGGGCAGAAATTCTGTAATATTCTGACCTATTAATCACCTACGGTATTCATGAGCTAACAGTCTCCTGAATTTCCTCATGTTAACTTATAATATAGCTCATAATTTAAGATTAGCCCTATGAAATATCAATAAAGTACAAAAGCAGAGAAAACCAATCTATTGGTGAGAAGAATGCTTTGCTAAGAGAGAATATCTTAGTCACTTCATACCATCTGTGCCTGAATGCTCTACTGTACTTCCTTTTTCCTCAGCATATCTTCATACTTAATTCAGTTACTGTCAGCTAAATTCACTGAGATTGCGAAGAAGTTTATTTCCACACCCATTAGATTTGCATTCTGGAAACTAGGTTTACAGTCAACTGGTAATACCTGACAAAACCTGCTTCATGATCTGCATTTGAACCGTGTTAACAGTGGTGGCAGCTGTAGAAGTTCAGCTGAGAAAACTGAGGGACCATACAACCTGAAAGATATCTTTAAATACAAAATTAATAAAATAAATGAGACGATTGTTTCTCTTGTTGCAGGATAAAAGAATCTACTAAATGTCAGGAGTTTACAATGTGAGGCAGCTATTTCCATACTGCAACTAACCTGCTTTTCCAGGTGGAAGAGCACTTCATCCTGACCTATTTCAAATTTTATCCCGTACGTATGTCTGGCAAAGTGCTCTGGAAATATATTTCCCTTTGGCATGCAAGAGAGAAAGCATTCTGCTGCTCTTAATCCTGTTACTGCCACAGAACATTATGGTATTCCTCATATCCTATTGTGAGCACTGGTGCTCTACAGCAGCGTGCCTGGTACAGAGCACAACACCAAGCTGGCTTTTGCCTTGTGGTCTGGATTTTGCTGTACCCAAAAGCTAGAATATGCATGTGAATTGTGAGCAGAGACACAGACAAACAGCCTGCAACCTGTTCCCTGTTCCTCTGTCAGCAGCTAGCGTTAATGCAGGCAAGAAGTGGACCTGTGTGTTTAACTGTGCAGCTTCCCCACATAACGCATCGTCATCACTGTCCCCGTTAAGCCCAGATCAAACACAAAAAGCACTTTGAACAGCAGCAGCAACAATTCTAAAGAGTGTCAATTAGAAATTATTTCAAAAGAGGATAGAAGCGTAGCAGGCTTTGAGTAAAGCTTATAGCAGAATGGGTTGCTTGTTGGTTCATTACCTCTCCAAGACTCTGTCTCTCCTGTCTGTCCTCGTAGGCGGAAGTGTAGAATGGCTCATAAGTAATTAGGTCTGGACGTTCAATGTCATAAATGGCCTTGACTTTGGGAATGGCTGCTAAATCCTTGTAATCAAGGATCTCATTGTCTACTTTTGCCTGAAGGTCAAAGACAGAACATAAATTAACTTACACAAATGCACTGGTAATTTCTATTTTACACAATTTATGATTTTGTGTATTTGTTATCACACTGTTGCTATGGAAAACCCTTTTTGGCACTCTACACACAAAGTGGCTGCTTCTGTTTCTTCTCCAAGTGGGCCTCCCACTAAAAGCACGCAGTGTTTTCTGAGCTTAGGAAAGAAAGAACATTGCATATACAGATGTCATACAAAAGTTGCTTATCAACAGCACTGAGCTGGAAACTTCAGCTCCATAACAGACTCATTTTGTGGCCTAAGGCAAGTCATTTCACCTCTGCTCTTATTTTCCCATCTGTAAAATGTGCGATAATATCAATTTAGACTGCAGATCACAGAGATTGTGAGAGGATTCCATGCAGGAGACCACAGACAGAACGCCAACCTATAAATCTGCACACAAAAGGAAATACAACTCATTACAAGGAAATAAAAAGGCAAGCAGGACTAGTTGTCAGGACTAGGCATCAAGCTCCCAACTGAAATTATCATATTGCATTCATCACTTAACCTATGCACAAACTTCTAACTAAAGCATTTTTTGCTTACTAACAGGATACTATGTAGTACTAACACTGGGAGGAGTTCTTGACTAGTTCGAAACTGGGAGTAGGAAATCAGTTCTAAAAAGACAGGTGTACCCATCAGAAGAAGCTGGAAAGAGGTCTTACATATTGTTTAGGTAGCTAATATCTTCTCTTAATTAAGAGAAGACTTGTTAAAAACAAAGATCATCATACATTCTTAACTACATTACAGAAGTAAACTTGATTTTTAAAGCTAATAGGGAATATTCAATTTGCTTTTCACCTTTTCTACGGGGTATTTTAGTTATTCATAGTAGGCTGCACATGAAAACAAGGCTGATCTGTTTCTACTCACATTCAGTTCTGTTCTGCCTGAGTACTAGCACATACTGTCTTCAGATTTAAGTGAATTTACCTTCCTGAGCTTTTCTAACAACCACTGGTCTTGGTGAGTCTTAAATAATGCCATAAATTAGATACAATACAAAATACTTCTTATTGAGAAGCACGGCTTGAAATAGTTAGGAAATCCACTTTCTAAAAACAGCCTCAAATCTGTTCAGTCTTCACTCACCAGGTATAACGTACCATAAACCAATTTAACTCTAGGTAAATAGGTAGTTATACTAATGTGTAATGTTTTTACCACAGTTTGTTAATGAGCTGCAAATAGGTCTGGATATTTTTAATCCCACGTAAATTACTATAGATACTTTCACAGACTCCAGATGTTGCCCTATAGACTATGTTGTTCAGCAGTAGGTGAAACTTCATGAACTTATCCAGGTGATATAACCAGAAAGGATGGCAGTTCTCTGGGACATGCTTTGTGGTTTGACAGCTGCAGCGTGAACACTTCTGACATACTAGCTGTTTTTTTAGGTTGTTGCTGAAATGCATGGAAGAACTAGCACTTATCTCAAGCTTAGGACTGGAGATCTGTAATTTTGGTAATTTTTCTGCGTTATAATACATGTAACAAATCTGTATGCCTTACATTTTCACCTATATAATCTTAAGGTTATCTACAAAATGAGTGATTCAGTATTAAGTGCAGGTAACAGAAAAGAAAGTCTGCCCTCTGTGTCTGCTGCTTCTTCCAAACATAACCTTTGTCTTTGATCCCCTCATAATGGACTCTCTCACTAACTTGCCTTCCTGTCATTTTCTTCCTTAGCTGTTATCTTCCAGTTCTCCCTTGGATATTGTGCAGGTTGTCTGGAGCATGTTTTACATGAGGACAAAGGCTATACGGACTCTTAAATGCATGCAAGTTCTTGGAAGTGTAGGTTATATGCACTGAAATACAGCACGTCTGAGAAGGCTGAGCTGTTCTGTTATTCTTCCATGCACAGCTGATTTCATACTCTGCCTCCTTAGATCCGAACTACTAGATGACTTCTTCTGACCCTGGAAACTCCTCTGCCAAGAAAAAAAGGGCACTGACAATACTGAAGTATTGTGGTAAATACTAAAATTGGTATTAGAAGAGGAGAAAAAAAAATTTCCTTTGAAATTTTTGAGCAAACTTTCTGTGAATGTATTTCCAACTGCAGTTTCTAAGATCTGGTCAGGCAGCTGACCTGTCTGCCTTCTGTCCATCTTCATATCACCAAGTGGCTTCAGGAGATTTACTGAATCTTTATGTGGCCTGGAAAAAGCCTGTTGTGATATAAACTATCCCTGTAATGGTGCTGAGAATTTTAACAATTTAATCACTGAAATGAAGGCATTAGCATCAGTATAGATATGATTTATTTGAGCATGAAGTATTTCGTATTCAAGCAGCTCATTCATCAGGAGAAATACTTACATAGATAGTGTGGCCTGGTGAGCCAGGTATACTGGAACCTGGTCTGGAATAAATACTTTCTGATGATGTTCTCGTAGGCTGAAAAACAAACAGGAACTTTTCAGAGCCAATGGAAGCAATTAACATTTGTAACGTTGGTTTTAAGTGAAGAAATCTGCACACATCTTGAAATTAACTGCATTTTTTGGGGAAAAAAAAAAAAAAGTCAAGACAAATGCAAGCATTCTGGCATATTTCAATCTTATGAGGCAGGTGTGGGCTTTTTTTTTTTTCAGGGGAAGGAGTGTTGTGAGAGAGGAATGAGGTTTTCTAAATCATACAGTGTAAAAGACCGACAACAATAATGAAGAAAACCAAACGACACCTGCCAGAGACACTGCAAGGAGCCATATAACATACAGTTCAGGATAGTCCTGCTGGTCACTTTATCAAAACGTTAGTTCACAAACAGCTGGAGATTATAAGCAGCCATTGGTTCAGCAGCCAAAATTGTTGAGAGAAGCACAGCACACGTCATTGCTTTCCAGATGTTCAGTCACTGGATTTCCATTATGAATATGAAATTGAATTCGGCCCTTCTCAGTAGAAAGACCAGAAATCCTTGGCTTGGAGCTGTTCCCTGCATCTGCAGCACAACTGAGATGCAACCTGAAAGCTAAACTGTTGGTTGAAATTTCATGGTTCCCCAACACTGCAAAACTGATGTTTAGTGACAACGTCCTGCAAACCAAAATTCAGGAGAACAGCTGCACCCCTGCAGAGTGAGTGCTGTCACACATCTAGCAAGTATCTAGTGAGTATCTAACAGTACACTAGTACTGAACAGACACTGATTCCCTACGGGAAGTTTTGTGAGAGGAGACAAAATAACTTGGCATTGAGATGTGGGGATCCTGAAAACCTGACAAATTTGAAAACCATTTATTTGATCGAAAGTCACTCAGGTTATTGGGGCAATAACTTAAATATAGCATACATGCAGCAGACAAAGGTAATCAAAGATCCCACTTCCACTAGAGAAGCCATTTTTGTTCCTTAATTGACTGTGAAGAACTAACTCCAATCATAAAGTAATGCATCAGCAGATGACTCTGAGCACACTAGTGCAGTAGGTTATTTCAAAGTCACCACAAATTAAGCCTTCTTAAGCAGTCCTTATCTCTCATCTGTTTGTGAAAATGTACTAAGGGAACTTCCAGTCACATACTGATGAGAAACAAGGCTAAACAGCTTGGTTCACTGATTTTTCTTAGGAAATATTTGGAGTGAGCAAGGCTACTGGACATTTCTCATCCTTGAAACACTCTCAGACTCTTTCTACCTTTAATTTCATAGCCAGAAAAGCTACTGGAAGCATCCTTATAAAAGTGCTGAAGACTAGTTGGGGATCATACCGCAGGAGTTCTCTGACTGCCTCTGTGGAAATGAAATCACCATATGCAGGGAGGGTCAAAGGAATAAAGGGCTTTGAACACATTCCACCAAAAAACGTGAAGATCCAGATCAAACAGAGCAGATGTGGCTATGGAATGACACGGTCACCAATCCCCTCAGGAATACATCTGAGAATGCCTTCTCAGCCAGACCTCTCTATGTTCCTCTCTTTTTCCCTCTGTAGCTGCAAATTCCTATATCCCAAAAGGGAGCACAGAAATTTCTCAGCTGTCTTTTAGCTCCTTCCATGATGAAATCAAAGGAAAAACAAAACAAAACAGTCCCCCCCCCCACACACACACTTGTTTGATGGAAATGTTACAAGACTAAAGCTGGCTATTGCTGAGAAACACTTCATCCCCTTTTCATTTCGCCATTTCACGCCGCTGAGTGAAGACACATGTAACGTGCTGCTGCAGTTGCTATGGAAAACCACTGTTTTCATTACAACACAGGGAACACCATTAAGCACTTGAGGTACTGTTAGGGGCGTCTCTGTTACCTTTCACTTTTGGCAGACATGCTTTAAGAGTTTTGTCTGATTAATTTTCCCTCTTGCAGGAAAACAAGCATGAGAGCCAGTTATGACTTCTTCTAAACTGGCACATCTTCTAGGTTGCTTTTCCCTCTGGTTCTTTGTAATCTCTTTAGAAAATCAGATTTTTTCAGCCCTTGCTTCAACTATCAGTCCCACCTCTTAGTGTAACTGCTAAAATCTTCTTCAGTAAAGAAAAATTCCCTTGTGCTTATCACTTCAGTGAGTTTATTGAATACAGTCAGATACCCTAAGATGACAGTTTCAGCAATGCCCTGCTAACAATTCTCTTATCTGCTCTTAATTCAGGAGTACAGGAGCAGTTGTCAGATGGACTGGCAAGCCATAGCACCTGTTCTTCATTTCCTCTCCGTGCTTCTGCTCCAAGTTCCTCATTACTATCCCATTAACATGGCCATGAGCCAGATATGACACTCTCTAAAACCAGTTTTTTATTTTCTGTAACAGTTCCTGTGCACTCCAATTTGACGTGGAGTGTCTCAGGAATTCCACGTTCCCCAGGCAGGATGCCACCCTACCTGAGCACACATGGGTTATCTGCTGAGCAGCTGAATGCAAGCAGACCTTCTACTCTGCGCTTCCTCCATCAGCTCCCAGTCCTGTATCTTGACTGATTTTACAACATACCCTTGAACAGAGTGCACGGAAGAGGACTTCTGCATCTACTTTCGCTCTTGCTGCCTCACTTTGCCCTACTTGTTTTGAATTACACAGGCTGTTTCCATTGCAGATGGCTATTCTCTGTAGACTCTGCTGTTTCCCATATGGTCTGGAATCCTTCACAGATTTGCACCTTCCCCTAAAGACAACTGCTCTGCATTTAAGAACATTTCTGCTCTTTGCCTTAAGAAACCTACACTGAAGATCCCTTCGTATAAACTGTTCGTCTTGGGTAGTTTTAGGCTATTAGACAACTATAGCAACCTAGAGGCCTATAATAACTCCTGACTGAAAACCTGTGACTGGGTATGGCTTCTATTACATTGTACATTATGTTTTCATTATCAGTTGAGAAACCCTGCCTCTGTAGCACTACTTTACTACTTAAACAGGTGGCAAGAGAAACATTCGATGATGAATTCTCTTCTGATGTAACCGGTGTAAATCCCATCCTAGAGAAGAGCTGGATCAGAGCACAAGTTAAAACTGGACCAGTGGCAAACCCTGACCTTCACTGGAGATATCACATGAGCATTTTTTGAACACATACAGATAAGGAAATGAGAGGAAACCTCCTTTAATATGAATGCATTCCTCTAGTGGTATTTCATTCCATCACAACAAACCTGTGACACTTGTTCTATACTCCCAGCAACAAAGTTAAGCGGTCTTACTTTTGCAAACGGGTCTGGAATATTCTTTGCATAACCATGCTTGTTCTTGAAGGATTCAAATAGAGCTTTTCATAATGCCACTTTTTTTCAGAGAAATTTAAATCAAATCTTTGTTAAGAACTACAACTATTTGTTTCTTGTGGCATGGTCATTCTCCACATTTTTTGACTGTAGAAAAGGTGTTTCTTTTTTCTTTCCTCCTCCACCCAAATGGACATAACACTGGTAAATATATTAATATGGGATGTCTGTACCACATATAGGAAGTTTGTGAATGCATATGAAAAAAAACAAACAATAGAAGCTCATACATATCATTAAAACTGGTAAGGGACAGAACCAAATCACAAAGTAGCTGAAATATATGTAAGACTTTTCCGTATTTCTCACTTTATCACAGACATTTTTATGTTTTTGATCTTCATTTCATGCATTTGTCCTCAACGCAAAAGTTCTTTACCAACTTCATTTGCAGACTGGCAGAGGTAATACCAACTGTCATGCTCTTGATGCTCATCCTGTTAGGTTCACTGTGAATTTTAATGCTCAGTTATCATACTACCCATGCATATGCCCCAAGTTAATTAACTCATTATTTTATTATTAGATTACAAAGCTTAACATGTTCATCTGCATTTACCCCAGCTTGTCATGTCATCATGCATGGCACATCATCTAAATACATAACTTCTTTTAAGAAAAACATCCACACTAGAGCCATTCACATCATCCAGATACTGCTGTAATGTGGTGGCTGTGGCTTTTCGAAGTGCAGATGTTCAAAAACATGCTCTACAGTAACTTACAAGTGCAGGCAACCAGATCAAAACTGATCCCAAGAACATCTGGCCAAACAGATGCACTATTGTTTAACAAAGGCATCGTCAGCGTTGTTTACAGTACCTGCCTTAGTTTTTTGATAGAGTTCATTATGCAAGGCGGTGATAATAGCTGCAGAAGAATGAATATGTTTTCACTTAATAACATTGAACATGACAGTTTAAGCAAATTCTCTAAACCTCAGAAGCTACTGTAAGTGAAGCGTATTTATAAATAAGCTAAAAAGAAGATTAGGGTGTAATTTATTCTACTCAGCAGCCACAACTTTGCAATAGCAAAGAATTTGGCAGTCCCAGTGTAATACTTGCTACTGTGAGTACCTGCTTCAGCAACTGCAAGGCTTTACAGAGGATAGAAGTTTTTTAGGTCTTGGAACCAGGGTTCACTGGAGACAGGTTTCCCATGGATTTCAGTAATTTTCAGTGGCAGTGTACAAGACCAATAACGCACCTCAGAGCTACAGCATTCATTGTGCCTGTCTGCCAGTTGAACTGTGCCCTTCTCTTTACAAGTGTGTTACCTTCAAATGCACGCAGTACTTCAGTATTTCTCTTCCTTAAAAATCTACAGTATATGTGCATCAGGACAAAGCTAGTGAAAAGGTTTAGTTCAAAGTCACACAGACATATATTAATAGGTTACAACAATTTTTTCTTCCTTTTCTAGACAAAAAGGCCAGAAAGGAGAAGGAATTTTCAGCAGTCATTGAAGGCACACTGCTACCATATGAAAGATCTTTTACAAGACTACTCATGCAAATGTAGTTTTCACTAACAGTGAGCTGAGTGGAAAGCAGAAAAAAATGAAGTGGAAAGTCCAGAACATACTGAATTCAATAGTCAACTTCTTACAGAATTCACAATATTTGGTTTACTTCCTCAAAAATTCTTGAGTAACTTTTTTTTTTTTTTTGGTGGTAGATAGCAAGCGTGGTTTTAAAAACACTACAGTCACCTTTTAAATTAAGAAATTTTCCCCCACAATCTAGTTATTCCAATTTGCTGGGTTCCTTCTTACATTTAGCAAACAATTAACCCCAGTAAACACGGGTCTCAGTCCACAGACAGCTGTCCATGGCAAACAATTAGCAATTACTTCACAGGAGATTTATATTTCTTTTATGTTCCTTTACATTCTTTCATTTATTTATTTATTTTTTACATTCATTTGTTTTCTTTCTTGCACTGCCTCGATATCTAGCTCCTAATGAAATGCCTAACTTCTAACTTCCACTGATTTCAGTGGAAGCTCCAGTACTCAAGTCTAGCAGCTCAGCACTTTTGTGGGATGTCATAGATGGTGGTGTTGATGCCTGATGTGTGATCACTGCATCAAACCAGCTCGGAGTAAAATTCTGTTTGAATCACACACCAAGAATCATCTTCTCCAAATTACGTACACCATCCAAACAGTTTTCAGTAGGGTTATCATGTGATGAAGAGCTGCAGTAGGCATACACCTGCTCCTGTCTTACCAGAAAAGTAATCTGCCACCATATTAGCAACAAAACACACACACAAAATGGAACTCATTGGCAGCAGGTTCATCTGAGGCTCAGAAAATCTTCCTGACTTCAGTACCAAAGTTCGTTCATAGATCTAAGAGACTGTCAGGTATTTCTGCTTCTGGCTAAGCTTTTGTGACCCATTTCCCACTAGCTGTTTGGTACTCAGCTGAGTCACAAAGTCTCAGACCTCTGAAGTCAATATCCAGGGACCTACAGAATCTCTGAAGCATGCACCTCCATCAACAGGTGCATACTTCAGAGAAACAAGAAACATCAACAAGACTGAACCACCATGGTCTGGAAAAAGCTGCAGATATTATTTACAAAACAAACATGCTCTGGCTTACTATGTGCAAAAGGCGTTTGCATCAAGCATGCTCTGGTAAAGTTAAAAACTATAATTTTCATGTAGATTAAAGACTTTGGCCTGTCTTTACAGCAACAGCAGTGATAGCATCTTTGTGTCTACTCTGCAGAAGAGCACTTAAAGCCAAAGTCTGCCTTGAATTACACTTCGTATAATCAGCCTGTAAATCCAAGCAGCATTAAATACTGACTAAACTTAGCCAAGAGGATATCATCTGACCCTAAGCTACTTGTATCCTATACAGTCTGCAAAGCAACAACAAGAACATACCTTAGTGGCATGGGCCACTCCTATTTTTCTGTGCATGTTCTTCTAATAGATTGGATAGGATTCAATTTTTCAGTCCTAAGGCTCCTGGGTTTTCAACATAGAAAACTCACACAGCTGCATGCTAAACTGACTGCAAGAAGCCACTACACTGGCCTAAAAGATGAGCGAAACAGTCCCCCAGATTGCTTTCCTTACTCTCCAATATCAGATCCCATAAAGCCTAAAAGCGCAGAGACAATGTCCTCCTTAGGAGCAGTAATAACATAACTTTGTAGCTTTATTTTCTTGATATATATTCTGTAGGTAAGAGAGAGCAACATTCAAGAGGGGTTAATACATTGCAACATCCACGTGAACTGCGTGAAGTCCTTTGCAGGACAAAGGGCACAGGCCTGGCAGTGACTGCTATTGAATCCCAGCACTGTGTTCAGCCACGTAACGCTGCCCTGCAGACTGCATCTAACACAAATATCCTGCCCTGGCTGATGATACAACTATGCAATGAGAGATGTGAAGGCTGTGTGAGCAGACAGTGAAAGTCCAGTGGCAGGGAGTCTATCAGCCTGCCTGCCTACTGCTAGCCTGTACTAAGTCCTTATCAGCATATTTTTACTTCATCGTTGGGTGAAAGCTATACAACCGGACAGCAGATACAACCAACGAAGAACCAATGCTCTGGATGAGGATAAATGGAAGTAGGTAGTGGTCTCAGGTGCACACCAAACTCAAGTAAGTCTGAAAGCAGAAGAATCAAGGAGGGACAGCCTCCTAACGCCAACATGGATGTGCTGCTGATTATGGAGAGGCCAAACGCTCTGGGGCAGTGCTCAGGACATGCCCAAACCCAGCATTTTGTAAATATTTTCTCAACTGAAGTTTTCATCTGTATTTGGTTAATAATTATAAAAACAAAAATGATATAACTGATAGCATTTTTCCCTCTAAAAAACATAAACCATTGTTCATGGAAATCTGACTTCTTCCCTTCAAAGTCAGACACTTTTTTACCATTTTCATTTGCTTCATATTTGCACTCTAATTTTTTCCTTCAGAAGAAAAACTTTCAATGGCACTGGAAGAAAAATACTGCAACCCCCAAAAGCTCAAATTAATATAAAAAAATAAATTAAGCATTTCATTAAAAGAAATGAAGATGTGAGAATTAACAAACACTGGACTACATGATGCAAAATACAGAATCAGTGCCCAGGGTGGCAAGTGATAGCAGGAAAGCTATGTGGCAAAAGTAGTAGCAAGCACAGCAAATGACAATAACCAAGAATCTTCTCAGTAAAGAAGATTGTTATCAACACTGAAAACACAACAGCAAACCTCTGCAGAGCGTGGTCTGCGCAGAACCAGACTCTTTGGATAAAAGAACTCAGATGAGGAATGCTGTCATGAAACAGAAAAGGGAAAAAGAAGAGTGAAAAGGAAAATAGTTTCCCCAGCCTGTAAGATTTATGTTACTTATTGGTCCCTGTAGAATCACAAACCACCAGACAGTTGTTAAAAACAAAATAAACAACAACAACAACAAAATAAGCAATTTATATTCTTGTTACATACACAGGACTGCTTTACTTTGTTTTGTCTTTATAATCCTCTACAAATAAAAACAGGAGGAAGACCTTAACCATTTTCATGAGCTCCAACTGAAATACCAAGCAGCTAAAGTGCTGATTAGTTTATATCACAATTCAGAACTTGCTGAATGCTTCTGAAGTGACTTCCACGATAAAAGGGCATTTTGTTTTGCTTTGCTCTACTGGGAAAGGAAACTCAGCAGAGCAGAGAGGCCATGTCACTAACTTTTTGCAGAACCACCAATAAATCCAGGCCTGACCCTGCAAGTGGTTTTATCTCACATTTGGCAACTCACAAACCAGATTCTGATTCTCTTATCAGGTTGAAGTCTATGCAACCAAGAAATCGACAGTGAATCAAACCACAGTTCATAATTTAGTGGTGACATGTTTAAATAGCACATAGTTCTGCCAGTTGTTTAGTATGTTTCTGTACCTACCTTTTTGCTACTGCCTTCGTTTGAGTCTGCTGAATGAAACGTGGCAAAGTCATCTAAATGAACTCAAGTGAACAAGTGAACTCAAACTGATTTTAAAATAAGGTGTCTGATATTTGCAGAATGCATACAGACTATTTGTGATGTAAAGCTGAAGCTAAAAATCCTCTCTCTCTCCAGCTATCTTCAGTATATTGCATTTGCTGATACCCTTTTAAGACATCTGAAACCTCTGCATGGAAGATCTCCAGGAATAAGGTGGCCTTGGATAGCTTTGCCATAACATTTCTCATGTTCCCTTAATAAGCATTCTCTCACTTCATTTGTCTTAAATTTCCTGAAAGAACTCACTTATGCAAAGTCTTGCAGGTGGATGAATTTATTTACTTCATTCACTTCAATTAAAATCAGCTGAAGAGGAAGAAGATTCACATGCTTGAATGTGTAATGGAAAAAAGGAGAAGATACTTGAAGAGGACTTTACAATTTCCATGGGGAATGGAAATAAACCAACGGAGTTATAAGGCCAGCTTGGAGAAGGTTCATAAGGGCAGCAGTGTAGTCAGGAATGCTTTGATAAGGCTTTTGGGTCCAAGTGAAAGGGACGTATTGTACCCCAGCCATTCACTGCTAAGCATAAGCATTCTGACACTTAAGCAGGTCCAAAGCCCTGTCTTACATTCAAATTGTTAAATGAGGAAGAAAATCCAGAGCAGCATAAAAAGTGCTGCTGTAATTAGTTAACATTAATAAGGGAGCAATCTAATTCTTTGGAGTTCTCTCTTTACCTTCTAATTACTGAGCGCTGGCATAAACAATCTGTCTGCTCCTTGGGTGATGCAACAGCCCCACGCCTACTCTGGAGGTAATTCTGTCTCTTACGTGGTAAAGTTACAGCTGGTTTACGCTATGATAAGAGGGTCACTGAGAACAACATTTATGCAAGTGACATAATGCTACATGCTGGAAACCAAAGGCCAGGACAGACTTCTGAGAACAGCCAGGGAGCTCACTGACTTCCTAAGTTTCGAAGGCTGCATCAGGCCCAACTCCTTGCAGCTGAGAGGACTGAGTACAAAATCCAGAGAACTTTATGAAGGAAGTTTCACAAGCATATTAAATACCTGGTCATCTATGGCCAATTCTCCTTCTGTATTATCAGTACAGCCCACACAGATGTGAACTCTGCTCAAGAAAAAGTTATCAGTATGCTACCTACATTCACAGTAAATTTGCAGAACAGTGCACCTAAATAAATTCTGAAGGCCTGGGTTTCCTGTGAATGACCCACACATAGAACAAAACCCACAGGATAACCTCCATGCCAGTGCCTCTCATTTTCCTTGGCTGGTAGACCTTCTAGCCATTTTATTCACATGAAGTCTCTAATATTTATACTCAGAAAAATTAACAAAGTTCAAAGAAACTACTGAGACATCAAAGAGAGTAAATTGTCCAGGAGGCAAATTAGTGAATATAGGCTTAACATTAAAATTACATGCAAAAATCCAGGCTATAATGTTTATCAGTGCAATGTTATTCCCATCAATTTGATTAATCCAGAAACCATGTAGGGATATGTTGAAGTGACCCCAAGGATAACTGCAACTCTTCTTGGCATTCAAATTAGGATCCTTTTAGTCTGGGGTGTATTTGTATGAAGAGTCCATCTGAGCTCAATGCTGTAAATAACTGCACAGAATGGGATAACTATTGAGAGAAATTATACAGATGTGCAAAAATACTAAGATACCCTGTAGTACTTGCTCTGTTCACATTTTCCTCTTAAAAATCTCTCCCCAAAAGTAATTGATATAAGATTAACTGTCTTAAAGACAATGTCACATCTGTATGTCAGTAAATGATTCTATCTTCATATCACTACACTGAAACAGATACGTGAAGATGCCTAAAAATCACACCAGTACCTCTGAAGTGCTGTCACAGTTACTCTGCCAACGTGGTGACAGCTATGCAATAAGCAAACAAGCAAACATGGACAATCAACTCTTTCAAATACAATGTCCAGTTACTCTGTGTGCAAAACATCCAGCGAGTTATTGCCACAAGTTCAGCTTACCCTTAGCTTCTCTTCGGTCTTAGTGGATTGCTTACAGTCGGGATGCCAGACAGTGGAACCTTTGGGAGGTGTAAAAAGAAGAAAAATCCTTACTCAGATTAAAACAGATGATTCCTGGTCATGAAAACAGAACCCCTTCACTGCATCAGACTGTGAAAGAGGAACACAAGTGAAACAAACAAACCAAACCCTCAGCCCACCTACAGCAGCCTCTTGTGGAAGCTGTCAAAGCACTTAGCACACGTTCTTAATTAAGTCAAACGGCCATAAGCAGCAAGAAAGGCAGCCAGCACCAGCTGGAGGAACTGAAAGACTAAGGGTTCTTCTGGTGAGGATGGAGGGTAAGGGCCATGGTGACCTGATCTGCTCTTCCCTTACGTACCCCACCATGCATTAAAAGGAAGCTCTGATTACAAGCCCACCAATACCAGCAAGGTCTGATGACTTCCTTGAGCAGTTGATGCCGTGCTAAGTTATTGTGAAATATTACTGAAATATTGTGAAATATCACCTCTTCCCTGCAACTATGCAAAATGCAACAGGAAAAGCATATATGGAGCAAAATTAGAAAAAAATCATAACAGTAGTCAGTTGTATCGTGCCCTGCACCAAGCTGGAGAAGCCAGTATGACTATTGGCATGAAGCAGTACGTGAAGGAGCCTCTCTCTAGATCCAAGTGTACTGTACTTGTCACTGGCACACACATCGCTTCTGCTCCTTGCTCTGTGAGGTCAGTGGCATGTGTTGTATTGGATTTCTGCATGGCACATTCCAGCCTCACATCCTTTAAAAAAAATCAAGGTCTCCACTGTCTGTGTTCCAAAACATGGGATTTTCTCTTACATTGTGAAAATGTAAATATCCGTCTGTGCTCACGGGCTGAGCAGTGCTCAGGGCAAGGGGCACTTCCATTCCACTTCAGTGCTCAGGAACAGAGCACAAACTATGGTCACTGCTGGGAAGCTGCTGGCAGGTTTTAGCCAAACTGAAATGGAGCAGAAGCTAATGCTGATTTGTAACACTGACTGCAGCTGCAGTCAAATTTAAACTTCAGTCCAGCCACTGCAAAGCCAATACTGAGCCTTGTCTGCCTGCAGGAGGGAGCTTCACCTTCACTCTGTCCACACAGAAACCAAACAAAGGGCAGTCCAGGTCTCCTGCTGGTGAATATTAGCCCAAGTGCAGCCAGAGGACACCCCACCCTCAGAGCCACTGAGAGGTACGGGTCAGGGGCCCTGGACACTTTATTCTAACAAGCCCTTACATGGCTCAGTACAGAAGTGAAGAGCAACAGGAATGATTTCACTTCCCAGCAGCACACAGCATAATCATCATCAGAAGACTGCAGGGAACACTGTGATTCTGGATCAGGGCCTGAGACGTTTGGCTTCGAGTCTAAGACAAGGAAGAAGAAACTGCATTTGGCAGGCGGGGACGATCAGATAACAGGGAGAAGCGCACCGAGAGCCTTCTCTGTAAACAAACAGCAGCTTCCGAGCCAGGACCCCACAGCGCCAGCAAGATCAGGAGAGAAGCATGGCCTGTGCATTTGCTTAGGAGATCAGGCAGATCCCAGCCCTCAGGAGGAAGAGAGCTCGTGCCATAAAGCTGATGAGTTAAGACTCAGAAGGTTTCAGAATTTGCAAGTTCAGTTACAAGCTTCCTGCATGACCCCAAGAAAAACGTTCTCTGCTCCTCTGTACCTCATTTTTTTTTTTCTGTTAAACCATTCCTATCATCAAAGGAAAAGCTATTGCTGAAATTTCAGGCAGCGTTTAGCACAAACTAGCCCAATTTTAGGAACACCCACCCCAGGAGAATGCTGGAGCTGCTGAAGGGGAATAAGAAATGCAAGAAGGTTTGGATATAATTTTCACGGTGGAACTTAGTTACCAGTTGTGAGCTTTCTTTCACAAAAAATGGTAAGAAGTTTTAAAAATATGAAATTGTAAAACCCAAATCAGGTAGAGCTGGCACAAGAAGTAAAATGCAAATATTTTTTCATGACCCTGAACTAGAACTTGTAGATTTGATTCACCCAAACGTGTCTCACTATTTTGAAATGTTTGGAACTGTGTAAATTCTCAAGCTGCATTGCCCTTCCTTTCCCTAACAGAAGCAGTTCAGCAAATTGTGGCTAATCCCACTCCTAATGTAAGTTTGCTCACTTGGCAAACATCAAGCAACACATTCATTTATTCAACTTTTTGCTTTGCGTGTACCGCTGATTCAGAATACAGTGCTCTAAAAAGCAGCAGCTCAATTACACAGTGAATAAGGCTGAAAGCCTGTGTGAGAATCAAGAGCAGCAGCAGCCCTCTGAATGCTAAGCAACATCCTAGCTCAGTAACAGCCCTCTGGGATGATCCCTATAATAAGATACTACTAAGGAAGTCCATGGGAAAGAGAAAGTTTCTGATGCTACTTCCTTGTCATTTCCCTGTGAGGGAGCAGGGAGAAGTCAGAGTGCTTCTGCTAGCACTACCTAAACCATCCTTAACATAGGAAGCCCCAGAACGGTGGGTCTGGTTTTGTGTTTTCTTTTTGCAGATTTGCTTTTGCACATTCCTATTGCAAGTGACTAACAGAAACCTACCAGGCTCCTCTACTTATACAAAGCGGTACCAACACAGTTTTCATGTCTAGTAGAGAGAACAACTAGAGATGAGAAGGAAGCTTCCTATTTTCATATATTTCATTGGTAATGTAATTTTGGTTCTGGCTGGTTTTTATTTCAGAGAAATGCTTGGAAGGCTGATATTCTGCACCCTAGGGGGAACAATTTGGATGGAGTCAGGATATCCATTTCAGCTGAGAGCTCTGCAGAGGAAAGGCTTTCAGGTCACCTTAAAGCCTTAAAAGCATGCTGAATTCAGCAAGGAAAGCTTTGTCAGGACAGTCTGGAGTACACTCAGCAATAGCATTACTTGGTCAGAAAACAGACTTATACAATAAAGCAGTGCAACTTGGGCTGCTGCTCCTCCACTGAAGCACAGTGAGCGTGAGGGACATCAATTCACCGTCACGGGACAGGAGATACAGAAGTGTGTGTAGCTAAGAGAATGACAGCAGGTCAAGGAGCCAGGTATCTCTTCCTGTCTCATATCACCTAAACTTTGCCTGGACAAAAATCTAGCCTTGTTTAAGTACCTCCTGCCTTACTGGGATCTGCACAAGTTTATACCACAGCCTGCACGTGAACTTCCATTCTGTGCTCGACTGGTGCGAACTGCATCAGTTCATCCCTCGCTGCTCTTAAAGTAATTTCTGAATTAATCTGCTCACCTTGAACTCTGCCTGTCCTTTATCATACTATCATGTGAAGAAACTAAGATTACCACTTGTAAGATGCTGTAACTGCTGCTTTCAAATTAGGCTTTCCAGTTTGCCATCAGAAAGCAGTAGTTCCTACCCAGCCCTCTTTCAGCCTCTCCTTGCTCTGGCAATGAAGTGCTGCTACACAACTGTGTATCTAATTCTGTGCACAGCTGGAATAAGATGATGCCTTACAAGGCCAGTGAGATGAGAAAAATGGACTGCAAGGGAGGACAAACTATAAAATAACACAAATTAGCTTCAAAGGAATTCCTTAACAATGTTATCTTGTTTTGGAATTCCTCCAGAAGGAATCTGTCTCCATTTTTTCACGAGATAGCTGCCATCACACTTTCATCATTTCTTTCCTACACTTTTACAGGCCTTTCAGGTGCATCAAGTGAGTTTTCTAACATAACTACAACACACAAAATCCCGATCCACAGTTACCTTTTCACTTTGATTTCTAGATGTACAAATGCATATTAGATGTCTTTCTACCAATATTAATTAATACGACAGCAAGTCAGAAAAAATAATTGTAGCTTAACAGCTAATGTGCTACCTTCTGGGAAAGTCAACAGAATTCAGTTCAAGGATGTTTTTCAATCAAAGAAAGAAGCACATTCTGTTTTACATGAAACGATTAAGGAAAAAAAAATGCTTTGCACCTGGAAGTGAGTACAAGACCGCTAATAATAAAAAGGAAATGGAAATGAATGTATGAGAAAGAAGTGACTTCAGAAAGAGACAAATAAATATAAATGGGACTAAAGGAGACATGTGACCAGATGAACGGGAAATAGGCAAGGCAAGCAAATATAATTAGGAAGCAGAGGAGACAATCTAATGATGCGCATGGGGGATCAGATCTACGTGATTCAAAACAAGCTCACTGCAGTGTCTGGAAGGCTTTTCATTGCGTTTTACAGTTTGAAGAGTGGTCCGGAATAACAGAATTCAGGGGAAAATTACGTGAAATCCTCTCACGTTGTCTGATAGCTTAGTGTACAGACTGGTGGATGAGCTATCTGTGAGAAGCCAAATTCAGAGGCAACCTAATAATTTTTACCCTTGTTACACAGCTTTTGAAAATACAATCTGGCTCAACTCAGGTATAGAGTCACTGCAAAGCCATCATCATGGCCATTTACTATAGTGAAAGAGTTCAGTAAAAAAGTTTGAGGGCACCGTAAAGAAGAAAGGATGGCTACTGTCCACTGTGTCCACACTGCACAGAGATAGCTAATAAAGTGCTGAGGTCTGTAACAGAAGAATTACCAAGCCTGACTTTCTGGTTTTAGAACAGAGACGTCCTTACCTTGCAGATACATTTCTTCTCCTTCCGTGAACATTTGGTTGCACCTGCTGCATCGTGCACAGCTTGGATGATAATGCTTGTCACCTGCCTAAGCAAGAAAGAGAGATGAGGGATCAATGCACTGTAAACATTGCTCACAATTATACTGCTCTGTGAGCACTCAATCTGCTAACAGACCACTCTCATTTTTCCTCTAGTTCGCCTGTTATAATATGGCTCTGATGATGTGACAGCAGCTATGGGAATGTAAGACCTGCCATTCTGGCTCGGTGCAAAGGTCCAGCATCCTGTCCTCAACAGAGGCCAGCAGTGACTACCCCGGGTAAAAGGCTACAGGAACAAGACAAGATAGAACAGCCTTTCTTCTTCACACCTTCCCATTCAAGTCATCAGTGGTTTAAAGACTTCCTGGTGAAAGGCTGTGTTCCAGTCTCTCTATTCTCCATGATTTTGCCTGACAGCTTTTTGAATCTCCACTTACCAGTCCAAAGCAATGAATGTTACACTGCAGCTAGACATTTGTGCAAACCTGCTGCCTCCTCCTTTTGCAGACAGCACGTATTTTCTCAATTGCTCCGTTGTTATGGATGAATTTAGACAATGAATGACAGTTTTCAACCTGCCATTTCATTCCTTGGCTGCCTTCCCAACACTGCTGATATGGGCAACTTCTGGGACCATTAACCCTAAAGCACAAATGCCTGACTTCAGAAGCTACATGGGTACAGGCAGCTTGAGCTGCCTGAACTATTGACCTAAAGATTCTAAATACTCTAGATCCTGTAACCCAAATCCACCGAGTCACTTAAATACACATCTCTTCAATACAGTGATATTCATAAAAGACTTGGCTGATCAGGTTTCAGGCCTATAAGGACAGGAAAAATCAAGGCACAGATACGATTGTGATTTCTCCTTGGGAGAAACTAAGCATGCAAAGCCCATCAGGCTTTTTGAAGGGAAAAAAAAAAAAAAAGGAAAAAAAAAGATTAATCCTAAACCAAACAAGTAGCGACAATTAATGCATTCTAAAAGGCTTTATAAATGTATCTGATTTCCTAACACGTTAACTTCAAATGCCTTTTCACAAAATATTCCCTATCAACTGAAATGTTATGTGCACAACACCAGTCTGCAGCATAGTGCTGCAAATACTGAACGGGCTTCCAAGGTCGATCTCACATTCAGACAGCTCAGCACTCATCAGCAGGAGCCTGTATCCTTCTCTGCACTTTCTGCTGTGCACAATCAATATTGTGCATACAAAGGAACAGGAATTTTATCTGTATTTGGTAAAAAAAAAAATAATCCCAACTTTTGAGCACTCCTCAAATTCTTCAGCAGAGTGAGGGCCCAAAGAGCTGCTTGTCATAAGCAATTTCAGGCATATTTCATTTAAAGATGATGCCAAGCCCATGTCCTGGAAACTGCTCCCAGTTAATGAGATATAAAAAATTCCTAACAAGACTGAATCACTGCCGGAAAGCATCTTCTCCAAACAGGAAGACAATGATTACAAAAATACATATGAACTCATAGAAGAGGAATCTTTTCTGGGCTCGCCTGTCTCATCCAACTGCAGAACATCTCTGCTGCATATGAGAGCTCAGATTTTCAGTAGGCACATGGATTTTTTTTCTGAAATAAATTCATAGCTTCTCAAAAGGTATTCAGTACGGTAGCTAAGAAGCTATCTAGTCTGAACTGGGAAAAGTACAGGGCCTGTTATGTTATGAATTAACCCCTGACATATCCCATCTGAGATGGGGCCATGTCTCATAAGATGTTATCCAAATTCTCAGACACAAAAGACTGAAACAACACTGTGGTCAAAAGTTTTTGTAATTTCAGTTAACTGCCAAAAAGTCTGTACATTGATACTGTCAGATTAATTAGGCTTTATAAAGAAATAATTCCCTTCCAAGAACGCCAATAGCAAACTACGGCAATGGAGTTTTAATGGATCCAGCAGAAATATCTCTAACGTGAAAGCACCATGCTCTGCGGACAACAGAAATCATGCATTCACATCCGAACAGTTTCGGCATCTGTTCTTCCAAGCTTTGATGTACGTGTGTTTTAGGAACAGAATGACAGATGACCCCGATGTATTACTCAAACGTTGCATTGCACTGTCCTAGGCAAAAACTGCTGAAATCTTTGGTTTTTGGGTAGTTTTTCTGGCAGTAGCCCAGGATTCTGATTTTTGTGTTCCTTATTTTGCAGTCAAATTACAACAACTTGGGTCAGTAATTTCTACTAGCTCCATTCACCCTTTGTCCTAAAAGGATGTGTATCTGGTCTAATCTCGCTAACATTGGCGAGTCTTTCACTTGCCCTGATCATCTGACAAACATGCCGTTTGTTTTTCTCCTCATCACAAATATTTTCTTAAGGACACCTGGTACATCTGTCAGTTGATTATGACTTCTATAAGCAGCCTACACATTTAAGAAAGTCAGATTATTTACAGGAAAAACAAATCCAGGATTCATCACAATATTGTGTGTAAACCTGTGGCCACTCTGAAGCTTCCCACTCCCCGGAAAAAAACTCCAATATGCTACTGTCAATGTAATTTAAACAATGTACACATATCTCTAAAACAGCCAAAATGTTTATCAGATCTTTCCCCAAGGCTGTAACAACTGGCCAAACGTTAGCCCAGAGTGAGCAGTGATGAAGGAACACCACGCCCCTGCTAACACAAGCTTGCTAAGTGGAAGCACTAACCCCTCCTGCACTGGCTGGTTTTGCTGGAGTTTTATATCACAGCAGCTGCAGCTGTTGCTGAATGCTTCACATCCAGTTTCATCCATTTTCTGCCTCAGCAGTGTTTCTATGACTCTGGAGCAGAGCTCTGTCTTCAGTGTGTATCCACTGGGAACCAGTCTGCAGCTCAGCTAACCCAGGGCTAATCTTGCTAAGCCTGACTTGCCATCATCATCTGAGAAAGCAGGTTGCTAAAAATCAGTCATTACAACATATTAGGAGAAACTTCAGGATCTACAGGGAATGAAATATTCACACTTTTCAGATATTTGTTTTCTTCCTAGCTCTCAGGCTACTAAACCCACACTCAGCACAATCGGTGTGAAGTTTCCTGTAACCACACGTTGCCATACTGGGGGCTGTTAAGGCTGACATCCCAGTCCTGCTGGCAGTACCAAGCACCATTACTCAGTGCACATTTGCCCTGAAGGTTCTTCAGCTGAAGTGTAAGAGGGTTAAAGGCACTTGCCTTCCCACTATGCCTCACTCTCCTTACCCCTTCCCAAATTCACTTCATATCCAGAAATCCCTTACAGCTGGTTTGCTACTCAAAAACTTCTCAGCTGGCATCTTGCACCCTGCCGACAGCAACAAATCACTTCTTGCTCAAAAAAATAGCTATTTAGTCTTTTGGGACTTAAAGCCAAAACGGTACCATTTCTCATAGGTGTCTGGGAAAGACAATTGTGGGTTGCACAAAAAAAAAATTAAACACAAATGACTCCAACCCAGAAAACAGAAATACAGCTGCATGCGTGCCCCAGAAGCCAGCCTCAGTCCCTGCTTTGAGCACACCCAGCCCTAATCCTAGGACCACAGTACTTCAAAAGCCAAGGACTGCACTTTTAGAGTCTATCTCCTCCCTCATGCTGTCCCCCCAGCTCCCACAAGACCAACTTTTATTTTCTCAGTGCTTGTAGAGCTCCAGTCTGATTAAATAAATGTTTTCCTCTTTGGTGAACGTGAGAGCTTAAGATTTCCTATTACTCATGCCTTCAGTCCTGTTCTTTCCAGCACAACGGTGAACAAGAGCCAGAAGGGACAATAACAAGAATCCCACCAGGAGTGCTCACATGCCAGTGGGTCTGGTGGAGGAAGAACTAATTACCAACAGACATTTTCTGTTGGCCAAAAGACACAATTAAGTGCATTTTTGCTGCGTTACATTTGCACAGCTGTACTCACTCTCCATTCAAAGATATCCTAGCAATCACCTGACAAGCAGCTATTAAACACAGAAAGCTCAATTTTCCTAATACAACTTAAATGCAAAAAAAAAAAAAAGTATGTAGTTTTAAGAGTGCTTTTAAAAGGTGTTTTTTTGTTTGTTTTGTTTTGTTTTTTAATGAAGAGCTATCAATCACAGCTCTTTGATTGACAAATCTAATCAAATATTTACTCCTACCATGACTCTAAGGAGGTTGACCTGATTTCGCAGCTCTCTTAAGGACTAAGGAGCAGCATAAAGAATAACTCAGACTCATCTTTAAACCCCTTAAGGAATGTCATGAATTGTAAAACAGGAACTGTAGCAGTAGCCTACCATTTTCCAGAGAAGCTTTATTTTAATTACTGGCAGAGGTCACAGAATCTTTCACCCTGTTTGATGTTCAGGATAATATCAAATGCCATTGTTTCCTTCTCTGCAGGCTTCTGTGATCTCACAGGCGGGTGGAACAGCACAAACACTATGAAGACCAAAATTTGCTTTTAATAACATCCTGGCCTAAACTGTCCACTCATTTTTCCCAGGGTCTTATCTGTTCAGCAAGTCACTACAAACTTCTGTGCTGAGATACAACAATAGAAGTGCAGCTCCTCTGCTTCCAAAGGACGTCTGAATCTCCCGTAACTTTCCCTGTTACTACCAAAGGAAGGAAAATGCAATACAATTTACATTTTGTAAACTACCAAGCTTGATAAATCCTTGTTTGATGTGCATCTTTAAAACGAAGACCTCCTGACATTGTTTGGAGTACTAATGTCACCACCCCCTCTGGAGAGGAGCAGCTCCCAGCAGAGCCCTGCCCTGCGCCCGGAGCAGTGGGAAGCAGAGCTCACACCGGCAGTTCCCAGGCTGCGAGAAGCACGTGAGGGGGAAAGTGGGAAATGGAGCGTGAGGCCGTGACTCTAAATCTGAATGACAACCTGCATGCAAGGGACGTGGAAGAATCCCAGAGCCTTCCATTGACTGCTGTGCTGTCTTGGGCAAGCCGAGACTGGAGCTGCTAGGAACACTTGCACTGTTCTTCCATGCCTGCTTTCTGAGTTATACAAGATACTTCCCAGTATCCCAGCAGTGACTACCAGCGTCAT